TATGTGCCTTGGTTATCAATAGCTTCTTTTGTTGACTTTGCATTCAGTCGCCCGATCAAACAGGAGTGGCAAATATCTCACTGCATTCTTCATTTTTCCAGTTCATACGACTTCAAGATTTGCGTTCCTTATCCCTGGCTAGGGCCTCAAGATCTCCGCTCCTCGCCCCTCCCTGCTGTCAAACTTGCAGCTTCCCGATAATCCGCTGCTGGATTCAACTCTAGGAGGGAGACCGTTGTCTTGAATGAATTTCTATATATTAGCGGCTTCATATCTCCTTTTCGCACCATCAAAGCCGTGGCCCATCACGCAACTTTACTAAATAAAGTCCAGGTCAGCCCGACCACATTCACCGCTCTTGAGTTCCTGAAACTTAATACACCCCGGAAAGGATCCATAGTTTTCAGAGCTAAATACCGTTATTGGAGACCATAGGATACTTCCATCAGCCGAGATCCAGAGGAAAGGAATTGCCGCTTGACCTTTTCTATTGTTTGTACAGTTCTTATTTTTATACTCATCCCCACGGAAGGTTTGGTCAGCACGGAAAATATGGCATCACGAGGAAGCCTTCAAGTTCAGCAGGACAGCATCGGCTATGGACGCGCCAGTGCCAGCGGATATCCAGTCACACCCAGAAGGTATGATTTGTTTTTTGGACCATCCAGTGTGCACGCAAACTAACGTTACCGCAGCTCTACATTCCCTGATGTAACTCGTACAACATATGATAGTTCGTACTACCCGACTACCAGGTAAGGCCGTTCGTTTCCAGAGCTTTGAGGCAAAGACACTGAAGGTATCCGATGAAGCGCGGCGTACACACCCGATGTGACAGCTTCAAGTTATAGTCCGATATCAGCCATTGTCTCCCAGACGGCTATGCCCATTTCCGATACGATGTACAGTTCCAATGGATACAATTCAGGGCCGTCTTCTGCCATGTATGGATCTGCCGGGCCTGGGTATGGTTCATTCCCTAGCCAGGGCTCCAGTTATGGAAGAGTTTCACCCGAAATGTATTTGGATGATTTTGTGGCTTCCCCAAGCCCGACCGACTATGCGCTAGAACCCTCAAGTAGAGGAAGCAAAAAGTTTGAAGGCAAAGGACACTCTTCTTCACAAAGACGACCTGCCAACAAAGATGAATTTGATGGACCTCATCAATTCTTGCAGCGACCACCACCAGAGTACATTGCACAACAGGAGCGAGATTTACCCCATCTCCCGACAAACCTTGTCGTTCACGAGCAGGACAGTATCCTCACAAGAGTCAATGAGCGCCTGTCTCAATGTGCTTTTGATTTCGTTGCCAAATATCAGTTTCCCATCCCCTTGGCCAATGGAGAGCTGCGACCCGTGGAACGACCTCAGGACCGGGAGTGGACAGAATGGGTTTACCTTTTGAAGCGACTGGCGACTAAGCGACGCATTCCAGCGCGCGTATTGTACAACGGTCAGATCAAGCAATTTATTACCATCCTGGAGAATTCCCTGGAGATGCGTCACGCAGCTAAGCATCAATCTCGCCCGCTCAAGGACGACAGGAATATACTCCAATTAATTTCAGCAGGAATACAAGTCGCCAAAATCCTTCGCGACGCCGAAGCGATGTCTTATTTGGACCGACTATACGTTAACACGGAGCAACAGATCCAGGAAAGAAGCGCTAACACACGCTATTTTTCCTCTTGATCCGGATCAGTCTTCAGTTTTTTATGCCATCTGTTTTACACGACTATCAGGTCTGTAAGTGTCTGGACAGCCGTTCCACACCCGGCGTTTGGTGGTACACATGCCGTCGTACACGCGTGCTTCGGACCTTGGTACCCCCTAATGGATGTTTGGAGAGATTTCCCATCCTCTGTTTTTCATTTCTTTGAATCGTTTACCGGCAGCGTTTCTTTTTCAAGTCAATGACCCGATGGGCGTTTAATATGACAGTACTACCGGGGGCGACCGCGCGGTCATCGAAATAGATAGATGGAGGCGGTCTGCTTTCGATTTGGAATCTGGTGTGTAGAGGACGAGTGAGGGAATGGTACGCCAATGAGCTTTGATGGAGAAGAGAACCAGAGATCGACAGGCACCACGCGACAGTGTATTTGTGAACGACGGACTTCCTCATCCGCGAATGAATTGTCGGGAGTTTTGCTGGTTCGGGTTTGAGCGAGGGCCACTTTAATTCGGGAGACTCTTAATGATCCTTCCGGCTGTCAGATTTTTGGTTTGGCAGGTCGAATTGCTTTGGCGAAGAGATTCAGGATAAGCATTGGCGTTGGGGAAGGATTTCTGGATTGCTTGGATCTTATGGAGTTTTGTTTCGACCGTGGAGTGGAACGATATTGGGGCCAGAAGAATGAGGAGACGAGATATGATGACCGTTGCTGGGAATCTGTTGGCCGCTAGGGGCCTGTAAATGCATGAACAATCATCACTTCTCTCGTGGCTGCTGAAGTCCCCTGCTGTTGCCGTCCAATTACCCCGCGTTATCGTCTGACGACCCCACCACCGGTAACGAAAATGGCATTGTTGACACCGCCTTGTGAGAGAGACCCCAAATCAGGTCGCGGCCACCGTCCAACTCCAGTCCCGCACTGGAGCAGAAGGGCAAACGCACGGAATAAGGAAATTGAAATTGTGCCTCGTCCTTCCATATCTACATAGCGTCAGAGCATGGCAAATTGATCTCTAAGCTTTGTCTTGTATGATTCTACTTGTCGCCTTCTACGACGTACCGCTCGTTTGATTGGGCGCATCCCACAACCTCGCTTGGTAAGGTTAATCTGGAGGAAGCCGAACAGACGTGAGGGACTTCACAGCCCTACCCGCGCTCGTGTTTCGATTCGACCCAGAAGAGCAACGACCAAACGAGACAGTCGATCTAGGAAGCCGATCCTGGGAATCTCGTTTCTTGTATTCACGGCCTTGGGAGGCAATTTCCTGGAACGAGGCGGCTCGACCAACGAGGAGGCAGAGCTGGGGATTAACATGCAATCGTCGCCCACCTGTGTCTATCATCTGCCGCGGACTCAACTTCGCGCTACCGATATGATCTTCGAAACTGAATACCCGTTCTATGCGAGTACGAGTCGCGACATGTTCTGGGGGCGTCCGGCGGCGACTGAGGGTTTGGGAAGTCATGGAGCAGCTGGGGGGTATCCACTCATGACGGAGAAGCAGGGCTCGCATACTCCAACGTCGAGCATCATCAATATAGGACCCGAGATCACGATGACGACTCCAGGGACGATGGGCAGCTATGTGATGGTTCATAAGAGGGCGGGTTCCAACGTGTCTAACCGAACGTCGCCAGTCGGATCTGATAGACAAGGGGCCTACTCTGTCCCCAGCCACGGTTCCGCCGCTGAATGGACTCATGCTGAACATACCGTCGAGATGGACCTTGATGATGAACACTATGGAATGCCGCATGACACAAAGGCTATCTTGTTCAACAACATGAGCGGTCCAGGTATGTCTGATGGAAGACACCTGAGTTCCTCTCTGACCCAAGCAGAATCGGCGCCAGTGTATCATGCCTATTCTCCTGAGGCTAGATTAAGTCCTCATGGTGCCAGCCCCACCCCACAGGAATACAACTCTCATGTGCATGCTTCCTCATCCGCGTCGGCCGCCTACATAGTAAATCATCAGCATGTTGTACCCTCTTATTCGGGACCGTCCATGTTGGGTGAGCTATCGGACGCTCCGTGGACTCACATGCATCCTCGGGATTCTCAAGATAACTACCAGCAAGCCTTTGTTGGGTTTACACCGTCGCCAAGACCAGTTCCTGAACAAAACACCGACGCGCATCGACCGAGTGCCTCGTTCCAAGTAATAGAATTTGCCGCCAATAATAATTTGAAATCGAAAAAGACCGAAAATAGAAGCAGGCGGCCGAAAGCTACATCAAAGCCCAAGGCAAAGACTACCGAACACGGGTGGGAACATCACTCAGTCATCCAACGCGGCGGTGTGCAGTTGATGACCAAGCCGGAAGAGAAGCCAGTACAGAGATCGGGTATTAGAAGAGGGAAGCTGGATCCTGATGCCGCTGAGAAAGCAAGAAAAATTAGAAGGATGACTGCCTGCTGGAATTGTTGGATACAGAAAGTCCCTGTTGGTTTCCTCTTGCTGGCCCGTCGAGCTCTTGCTGATTGTTGCTGTGCAGTGCTCAGTAGGACAGCCATGCGAAAGATGCAAAAAGCAGAGTGCTCCTGGATCCGGTCAGCTCTGTTTGAGAACTCATTTCAAGGAGTATGATGAAGTGTTCTTTCCTGGTACGTCAAGAATTATTCCCCTGGCTTGGGCCATGCTAACTACATCAGAATATCTCCATGCTCATTTCAAAAAGCGTCAGATTGAGGAACTCATCAGCGAAAACACGAGCGGATGGACCGATTATGTGTATGAAGTCGACATTCAAACAGGCGCGTGCTTCAAGCCAATGAGACTCGTAGTAAACTCATTTGCGCCTAAGACCATCGAACTGCAATATCAGAACAGACTTCCTACCTCTCTCGAAAATGGCGGGCCATGGCCAATCCATCAGACCAGCGCCAACATTGGTTTGATGGGCATGTCGACGACTGTGTTGAAAGAGATATGTCGTGAACACGTTGAGGAGATGGTAGACAATCCCGATTATGCGCTGCAAGTCACGACCGAAGATTCATGTCCGATACCTTGCACGATATTAGTAGCTGCACAGGAGTATTATAAAGTCACCGGGGTACGTATTTTACATCCCTGGGTGGATTTCCAGCTGACGGTAGCAGAACCCCCTTATTGGTCAAGCGCTGATGTTACACTCCATTCATTACTTTTTGAAGAGCTTTCCAACCCTTACAGAAGAATCGGTCAACAAAGTGTATCCAGACATGGAGATTTTTGGCGCGCCACGAGAACGATATTTATGTTCCCGACTTCTAAATCGACAGATAAAATACGCCATGCATAAGTTAAGTCAGGATATCACGATTGAAGTGCTTGAAGGACTTGAGCGTACCATGAGATCTAGGACCAAGGATTCATGGGGAACCTCCTTTTGTGCCTTTCTAGTACTTTGCTTGTGTATGGAGGGACTCCAGATCGCGGCGGATACCTTTGTCGTCTGCGATATCCAGAAAGGAGGCTCTTCACCTGCAACTCTCACGCGCGGGCATAGCTTGTCAGCGTGCCAAAAGATCGATGATAACCCTTTTAGTCAGTGCAAAAAGCTGTTCCACGATATCTACAGATCGCACAGAGAAACTCAAAGACCCGGCCGGGAAGGCGGTTTCAACCCATTGCAGAACCTTGCAAACAATAGCGAAACAGGTTTAGATTCGGAGGCAGATACTATGGTTCGATCCATTTTTCAGACGGTGATGTCCTCATGTAAGAACAGAAAAATCCACTTCACAGCTCCAGTAGGCTAACTTGAAAGACCACGATATCATTGCCGTCGCCGACAACCCACCCATCATCAGTGAGAGTGACCCGGGCATCGATCCATTTCAAATTAAGAAGAATGGAGCTGGCCGTTTAGTGGCCAACTTTTTAAGGTCTTTTTTCCCGGTCAATTGGCAACCAGAACGGTGACCCAAGGAAGAGACAGCGACGTAAATGACATGCAGAAATCACAAATAGATGGGATGTAGAAATGTGAATGGATCATGACCGTGGTGGTCAATGCGTGTAAAATAGAGGCCTCGCGGCTAGGAAGAGTTGGTGCGAAGATGGAATTGCAATCTGACCCGATGTCAAAGTGCTAATATTGTGATTCAGGCATGCAATGCGAAATGATAAGAAGAAATGGGAACGTGATGATAGGCAATGGTTTGTTTGTCCAGATTAGTCCTCCTGGCGCACTTTGTCAACGCCAGCAGGGTGGATGGGACTGGCTGTCTAGGCCGTTGGTTCTTTATCCCACGAACGATATTTAAATAAGTGACGCTCAAGTCCATAAAAAGGGCGCAAGAGGTAGGCAATATGTGGTTTTTTTCTCCAATGAGAAGTGTAGACGCGTTTTGACAAGAAAAGAAAAGCAAGAAACGTGGCTCAACTGTGACGGAATTGTCATGAACCTGATCAATAGATAACAGTACATATATATTATGCGCCGTATGATTGTGTGAGGACATTCGACGTTGAGCCGGTTCGATGAGATCGTTGTTGTTGATGTTGGATTTGTTGAAGGAACGTTGAACTTGGGACAAGAAATTTTCAGAGGACCACCAAAATAATTAGCGCGCTTAGTCATTGCCGCTTTGCCATTTCCGACCTAGCGTATTTCCAAACGTCAAGCTTCAGACCTCTGCATGACCATTCGTGAATCTTTACACAATTTTCATGACACGATATAAATCAACCGCTAGACATTTAATTCCACTGGCTAGCGGTCAAAATTCGTGCGAAAGTGACTACGCTGTGGGAAATCTTTTGGCACTCGACATATGCTCCTCTTGTCAAATCCTTTTTTTTCTTGAGCTTGACATCTCGATCCATACTTATATAAGGGTTTGAACGAACCGACTACTCCTCAATTAAGTTCAGCATGCTTCTTTCTAGACCCGGAAACCACATAATTGAAGTATGTGGAGATATTTTACCTCTTATTACAAGACTAAACACATGGAAGTAGTGGATTTTCTAGCATGACTCTACGAGAATGTGTTAAACTTCGTTTTACGTCGCCTAAGTCCAAACTCTACTTAAAACTTTACTTTCATACTTAGCTATACTATCTTGATTTATATTACAGTAAGGATTTTATTTATCATCCTAGGAAGAATAAATAAAGCTTGATCTAACATTAATCGTCTCGTAGACCACGGGATTAAGTATTATTGTGTTTAACGTTGTTTAGCTTTAGGTGCTGGAGAAGAAAATTCAATATGTTCTCGAAGAGCCCGACTCCTTCGTCCTAAGATATAACCAACTCTTGGCGAATTGCATGTTCATCAATGGGCTGGGAAAGGTTCTCCAAATTTCCACCCAATGCTCGTCTTCCTGTCGAGGATATGGGTAATTAACTCTCCGTTTCGTTTTCCCTATGACAGCCAAACCAAGCTGTTCGTATGTCGGGGAGCGTGATTTTAGTTGCCGTGAGGAAGTCATTTGCTACGAGTTCATCAAATATCCGCATCTGTTGTCGAAGCAATAGTAGAAAGATTACCTCGTTAGTTCCACAGCTTAGTTGTTCCGGTGTATCATCATCGTGGTCTAGTCGCAGTTCGCAATAGCAACCAGATTCATCAGCTTCATTAAATCTAGATGCAAACTTGATCTCATCAGACCCAAGAGGAAAGTAACCTCCTTTCGGACGTATCCAGAGGGATGTCTTTCCCAGTCGTACCGTCCTTGTACGATTGATCCGTCTGATGTTATTTGGCCCAGATGATTCAATTGTAAAGAGCATAATGTGCTGTGATTTTATTCCTCTCACCATTTTGGCAGAGCAAATGATACATGATTATCCCGTCAACAGCAGTACAAGCCTAACTGGTCCTTGCCGCACCTTTGGCTTGACGTAAGTCTCACCAAAATTCTCACGACGGATTGTCTGAAATTGACCTGATCTTACAAACTATGTAGGAAACATTTTCAGCGCTCTCCTCGTTCGTCGCGAGCTTGCGAGGCCGTGAATGTTGATACTCGAAATATTGTGCCAACCTTATCTAAGATCAATTGGAAGTTCAAGTATGTGATATGATATTATTCTGTGATCAACAATTGTTCACCCTATGACTGAGCTAAGATAAACGTTGAAGTCTCAGTCTAATACACATTAGCTTGTTTAGTAAAAAAAATCAAAAGAAATCGAGAGGAATTTGTGACAAATCGATCCAAATTTAAATTAAGTTTGACTCTAAACGTAGATTCGCGGTCCATTATTGTTACCCCCTTAATTCTTGAATATAAGACTAAAGCATTTCGCGGCTTTGAATTAGCTTTTTGCAGCTTTAACTAGCATTTCACACCTATGAATCCATGACAATGGCTAAATACGAGTCGGGAATCACATCTCTGTATTGGAAGCACCCTTTAAGTTCCACTTGAACATACTTCTTAGTGTCTCCTCCCTCTATACCACATTGACATCAAAGTCGAGCTTCGCGGGGAAAGCAAAAGATCGTGACTTCAGCAACGACACCAACAACAAGTCCCACCTCAGACCATCGTCAACACCTCGATGTCAGCAAGCTTACACCTCACCAGCACTCCCTCGATGGCCTCGTAGATCTCATAGAGACCAACATCGGGCGCCTTCCATCTGAGATGCGTTGGCGCCAAAGATCCGCCTACCATAAACTTCGGGGTCCGTACAACAAATGCACAGAGCATGGTTTGCTAACAGATCCATTTTCGTATTTCGACGATTTCTTCTTTTCGTCCTCGCTCGCTAAACATGTCAACTTGGTCACTCGCACCACCGGGGACGAGAAAGTCCGTATAAGACGCCTCTCAAATACAACCATAGACGTAACGGCGACTTTAGTAGGGACCAGAAGAGAGGAGGTTCTACAATACTGGGGTTATGTATTGCATCATATGATACACGCATTCCTCGAAATATATGGGTGTGTTGATTGCAGAAAGGATGAAGCAAAGGGCGGAGAATATGTATACAAACACTGTTTGTATTGGGAGGAGATTGCAGAGAGGATAAAGAGAGCTGTCCGTGACCCAGAGCTCTGTGGGGTTGAGGTTGCGTTAAAGGGTCATAAGTGCGAGCCCGTGGTATTGTAGGCATTATGGAATACATTCTTGGAGGAAGTCAACTCTTATAGTTGAGCTCGTAATTGAACACATCTGGAGTATGCGAATATAATACGTTTGTCGATTGCTTTCCCAGTCATGAAGTTTTGATTCAAAAGCCGTATACTGTTACAAATTAATTGTTTAGTTCGAATTCATACTGATAGATGTTCCTATTTGGGGTTGATTAGAATTCAAGTATCATGTGCTGAGCATCTCAGATATTAAAAGGAGCTTCGACGGCCACGCGTCTTCAATGAGGTGTTGAGAGACTGATGCTTCATTCAGGGGAAATCGCTTAATCGGGACGCTAGGCTTGGCCCCGCCAATGATCGTTGGACCCTATTGCAGGGGTTGATCCCGCCCGAACTGACCGCTCCGCGACCACGACCCACTAAGAAAGAAGTGTGAAACAAAACTCAACCGTTTTGTTGGTTTCCTTTTCTTGTACATCTCGAGATATCTTCGAGGATTCCTGATTGATCTTCAATTGAGGAAAGCGACGGCGAACATGTCTTCCAAATCGCAGAGCGTCAATGGCTCTGAGAGTGAGTTCGAATTTATCGCAACTCCAAGAGCTGCTACACCCACATTCGAGAAATTCGAAGAATGTGGTGTAAAGACCACGTCGGTGAGCTATTCCCATATACAAGCGCCAAAAATTGACGACTATGCTACGTCCTTTGATGTGTCGATCCAAATCAATTGATCATTTTTTGCTAACTGATTCCCAGTACCCAGCTATTAAAAATGCCCCTCTGCCAGCCGATGGATCTGGCAATGACCATTTCTCGAACATTGCCCTTTTCTCTATCCTCTTCTTTGTGCCGACATATATGTCATGGAAGATTGGCGGAGGCATGAAGACGAGCATATTCTTCGGGCTGTTCACCTCTGTCCCAATCCTGATGTCTTTCTGGTACTTGGCATCATCCTTCAGTCCACGCAAGAACGAGAAAGTCAACCTCCCGGGCCGCCCTATCGAACACTACCTTACCTTCAAGAACCCAGAGGACAAGGCGAAATATAGTGGCAGGAACAAGATCCCCATGGAGACATTCCATGAAATGTACTTCGACGGTCTGGTGGATTTTAATGGGGACGCATTGGAGATTATGGAATATAGACACGACTGGGCGAATTTCCGTTTCACGATGAGCTTGTTCAAGCATTTCTTCTTTACATTCATTCCTGAAGTCATTACTCACAGTCGTTCCCAGGGTATGTACAATCCGACAACAATCTTTCCACTGGTGCTAATACTGTCGCAGACGAGGAGCAAGTCCGCGACCACTACGACCGTGGTGACGATTTCTACGGCTGGTTCCTCGGACCTCGCATGATCTATACATCTGGCGTAATCTCTGACATCAACAAAGAAGAATCTCTCGAACAACTACAAGATAACAAGCTTGCTATCGTATGCGAAAAGATTGGTTTGAAAGAAGGCGAAAGTCTGTTGGATATTGGCTGTGGATGGGGCACTCTGGCCAAATTTGCCAGTGTCAACTATGGTGCGCGAGCAACCGGAATCACTCTTGGTCGCAACCAAACCGCTTGGGGTAACGCTGGACTTCGCAAGGCTGGAATCTCAGAAGAGCAGTCAAAAATCCTCTGCATGGACTACCGTGATATCCCTGTTCCAGAAGGCAAATACAACAAGATCACTTGTCTCGAGATGGCTGAGCATGTTGGAATCCGAAAACTGGAAAGCTTCTTGAGACAATGTAACGACATGATGGACGACGACGGAGTGTTCTACCTTCAAGTTGCTGGTCTGAGAAAATACTGGCAATACGAAGATCTTACCTGGGGCTTGTTCATGAACAAGTACATTTTCCCAGGTGCGGACGCATCTTGCCCACTCAACAACTACATCAGCGCATGTGAAGGTGCCGGCTGGGAGGTTAAGGGTATTGATACTATCGGCGTTCACTACTCTGCAACCCTCTGGAGATGGTACAGGAACTGGATGGGCAACGGCGACAAGGTCAAGGCTAAGTATGGTGAGAGATGGTACAGAGTAAGTCTTCAAGATCATTGTAAAATTGTCAGCTTGCTTACTTGAATCTAGATCTGGACATTCTTCCTCGCCTACTCCACCATTATCTCTCGTCAAGGATCCGCTACTTGCTACCAGATTGTCTTGGTCAAGAACATCAACTCCACTCACCGAATCGAAGGCATTGCTAGTCAGTTTGGACTCTCTGGCGCTCTTCAAGCTAGCAAGGCGCTTGGAAAAGCTCTTTTCCCAAAGAATGTGGCATGAAGAATGAACTTGGAGTTCTGGTGTTATGAATACTTTACCAAGTAATTGACATGCTATTAACGGAATGCCTGTACGCAGGTAATCTCGGAGTTGGTAACGAAACAGCTTTTAGAGCACTGCCATGTGATTGTGGACTTGGGGACAAATTAGACATAGATAGCTTGCTGGGTGTAGACCTTAATTGAGGACTGGCATGTGATGGACGTAACGAATTTGGCTGCATGCTATCATGTACCATAAAAGATTATCGAGCATTTTATATTTGCGAGCGCTAAAAATGAAACTACGGTTATGTGAGATACCGTGAATCACTGCAACTAGATATCATGAACTTTTTTATCTTTGAGTGCGTATCTTTGAGTCCGCATACGTTGGGTGCGTGGTGACCGTCAATTTTGCCGCAGCGCTTCGCCGCCCGGGCCGTCGTCATTCACGCGCGCATCCGAGCGTTCGACTCCAAGACATTCGTGTACCTGTTCTACACTTCTAACATCAACATTCCATACCCACCAGTTTTGCGACAGCAGCACGATCTTGAGATGTATTCTGGGTCAAACTCCTATCTGGGCGGCCAGAGTGGTCGTCCAGGCGGGCCCCAGCAATTCAACTCTTTTCAACAGCCTGGCCAGCAACAACAACAACCACAGCAGCATCAGCCTGGCTTCCTCAATGCGAATCCAACGGGATATGGACAAGCTCCTCTGCAGCAGCAATACACTGGATTTCCAATGCAGAATCAACAAACGGGCTTCCAAGCGCAGCAACAAATACAACCCCAGCAGACCGGCTTCTCTGGTCAGCCATCTCCATTTGGCAATGCGCAACCTCCACAGCAACAAAGCTTCCAAACAGGCGCTCCTCCTATGCCGCAGATTCCGCAACAGTTCCAAAATCAGAATCAAGCTCCTCCTCAACCGCCTGCCCCAGCGCCGATGCAGAAACCTCAAGCAACTGGATTTGCCCAGATGGCTGACAGCTTCCGAACCACCCCAGCAGCTAGTGCTTCTCGAGGACGACGAGGCTCAAAGTCGAAGGCAGGCACCAAGATCCCAAATATACGATTGTCCTTTATTACAGCTCAAGATCAAGCAAAGTTCGAAACCCTCTTCAAATCGGCGGTAGGGGATGGGCAAACTCTTTCTGGGGATAAGTCTCGAGATCTGCTTTTAAGGTCGAAGCTGGATGGAGACTCCTTGTCACATATTTGGTACAGTTCTCTTCTGGCGCATTTTATGTAAAATCGTTAACAGTGTTAGGACATTGTCAGATACCACAAGATCTGGCCAGCTTCTTTTTCCCGAATTCGCCCTGTCAATGTACTTGTGCAATCTCGCGTTGGTCGGAAAACCGCTTCCATCCGTATTGCCCGACAACATCAAGAACGAGGTCTCGAGTATGGTGGATATCATTAGTTTTGGGGTAGTGGATGATGCGCCACAACCTGCAGCGCAAACGAATGCACCCAACTTCAATCGGACAAATGCGGCCTCCCCTCCTACAATTCAACAGCCGCAGCCTATGCCTTCGAACTCGGCACTGCTCACCTCCCAAATGACGGGCTTTCCTGGCCAGAACAATTTCAATCAAGGGTTTCAGGGACAAGGTGGATTTCAACAGCCTGCGCAAACAGGATTCGGTCAGCAAGGAGGCATGCAGTCAAACCCAACTGGATACCAGCAGAATATGTCCAATCCCTCAGCTACTGGCTACTCCGGACCTCGACCACCAATGCCACCTATGCCGACTGGACTCAGTCCAGCTCAGGGGCTGTCTCCGGCGCAGACTGGTATGGGTGGGATGGTAGCACCTTTGAACAGTCAACCTACCGGAGTACCTGGGCAGTGGGGTCTGGTGAACGCACCTGCAAGTGGCTTGCCCAACATTGACTTGCTCCAGTCAAGAATGATGCCTCAGCAAGGTCGTGAACAGGGTTCTTTCACAACATCTGGTCTTGCTGGAAACGCTGTGATTCCATGGGCTGTCACCAAAGATGAGAAGCAACGGTATGATGCAATTTTCAAAGCTTGGGACGGTTTCAATAAAGGTTTTATCGGAGGAGATGTGGCTATCGAAGTCTTTGGACAGAGTGGTCTTGCTAAATCCGACATGGAGCGAGTCTGGACACTCGCAGACCACGGAAACAAAGGCAGGTTGAACATGGATGAATTTGCAGTTGCCATGCATTTGATTTACCGCAAACTTAACAACTACCCACTACCAGCTCAACTTCCACCAGAGCTAGTTCCACCATCTACTCGAAACTTCAATGATTCTATTGGAGCCGTCAAAAACTTGCTTCATCAAGAATCTGCCTTCCGAAAGGATTCGGGGGCAAGCTTATTGCCTCAGAAAACTGGAGTGAGCTATCTCAAGAATCACTCATTCCGCGGTTCAAACAGTCCGGCAGCAGGGCGCAAGGATGCTACAGTGTTCAAGAATAACGATGATGATGTTGGCTACAAATCCAGTGCGAGAAGAAGACTTGGAGGCTCCGGTTCTCCACGGCCGGACTCGCCATCGTCTACTACCTCGAGCGACGACTTGTCATTAGAGCAACTAAGAAAAAGGATTCGTGAGAAACAAGTTCTTCTGGATGCAATCGATTTCAAGGATGAGAATGCTGCCGATGAGGATGATGCACTTGACCGCAGGGACCGACGTGAAGCTGACGATCTGTATCACCGAATCCGCCGCATTCAAGAGGATATCGATAGTCATCCCGACTCTGCACTACGAAATGTTGATTCCGGCGCTGAACGACGTGCTTTGAAGCGTCAATTGCAGAATCTTACGGATAAGCTTCCAGAGATCGCTTCTCAGGTTCGACGGACAGAACGAAGTATTGCGGAAGCAAGACTGGAGCTGTTCCGCTTGAAGGATGCCAAAGCGCACCCTGGTAGTGCTTCCACAATGGTCGGAACAGGACCAGGAGGGTCTGTTACGGAGTCTGATAGACTAAAGGCTAGAGCCAGAGCAATGGTACAACAGCGTACTGCCGCACTTACTGGTAAGAAGATAACGACCAGCGAAGAAGACTTTGACGCCCCAAAGCGATTGGAGGAAGAGAATGTCAAGATTAGAAACGAGAGAGAGCAAAACGAAAGCATGGTCAAGCAGGTAGAAGAGGGCGTTCGTGAATACTCCCGAATTTTAGAGGACAGTCTTCAGGAGGGTGCCGAGAGCTCGTCGAACGAACACGAGAAGCGAAGATGGGAGGATGGTCTTGGTGTCGAGGATGAAGTCAAAGAGTTCATATTTGATTTGCAAAGATCCAGCAGATCAGCTAAAGTTCGGAAAGATGATCGTCGCAATACCCGTGACGCTACCCGCTCGGAGCGACCCGAGCCATCTCGTTATGAAAGTCCTTCAAGCTCTGCCAGAGACGAGGCTCCAGCTGCGAAGCCTGCTGCTACACCGGCTGCAGGAGGTACTTACTCGCAATACAAGACTCCTGAGGACCGAGCAGCCTACATCAAACAGCAGGCGGAACAACGCATGGCTGAACGTCTCGCTGCACTGGGAATCAAGGCTCCAAGCAAAGGCGGGGAATCAACACAGCAACGCCTTGAGCGAGAAAAGAATGAAAGAGCCGCCAAAGTCCGACAAGCTGAGGAAGAAGATAATCGTCGCGAGGCCGAGCGACAAGCTCGACTGAACGAGGAACAGGGCATCCCGGCTCCTAGCGCTGCACCAGCCGTACCAGAACCGAGAGGTTCAAAGAAGCCTCCACCACCACCAACTCGAAAGGCAGCAAAGAGTGATGCTAGCGAGCGCAGGGCCGAGGAAGAGCAGCGAGTTTTGGAAGAGCAAAAGGCACAAATTATCGCCACACAGAGTCTAGAGTAAGTCATCCCCCCACATAATGAGTATGGAATACTAACAGAACCAGGGACGATGCTGCACGACAAGAGCGAGAATTCGCCGCCGCACGTGAAGCTGCCGATGCCAAAGCAAAAGCTTTGGAAGAAGCATTGAAGGCCAAAAAGATAAACAAGGCTGAAGCGAAGCTCAAGAAGAAGGCTGCCGAGAAGGAAGCCAAGGAGAAAGAGGCAAGACTTGCTGCTCAGCGTGCAGAAATCGAAGCCGCTCAAGCTCGCGAGAGAGAGCTGCAACGTCAACTCGAGGCATTAGACGATGATGATTCCGACTCCTCGTCTGATGATGAAGGCCCTCACCAAGCTACTCCTCAAGCGTCGACTCCAACGCAAGGCAGTCAAGAGCTCGAGCGAAAGGAAATTTCTCCACCACCAGCTCCAGCTCCACCAGTTCCTACAAAGATTCCACCAATTCCTGTCGCTGCGATAACTACATCTATACCAACAACTAGCCCTCAGGCGGAAGCCGAGACAAAGAATCCGTTCTTGAAAAAGCTAGCCCAGACTGGCACCGAAACTCCATCCAACACTTCTAATAACCCATTCCACCGCATACCTTCCCAAGAAACACCCAAGGCACCGGAGCCTCTCATCACCCAACCTACCGGTGCCCGAAACCGAGCCAGACCAGAGGAAGACGACTGGTCTGTTGTCGGTTCTGATAAGGAAGATGATTCTTCTGACGAAGAAGGACCCGGAGCAGGCAATGCTCGCCATCTCGCATCTATTTTGTTCGGCACTATGGGTCCTCCTCGCCCTCTCTCAGCAGCAGGAACCGGTCCAGGATCAACCCCAACCAGTCCTGCACCAGCCAGAGATTCACCCGCTGCTGCACCACCGCCACCGCCCATGCCTACCGGCGGTGCTCCTCCTCCACCGCCTATGCCAAATGCTCCTCCACCTCCCCCAATGTTTGGCGCTCCAGCTCCTCCCCCACCGCCACCACCGCCAGCCAGTGCACCTGCGGGAATGCCCGCTGCTAGACCTCAAGGACTGCTAGGTGAGATTCAAATGGGGAGGCAGTTGAGGAAAACTGTTACGAAGGACTCTAGTACACCGGCGGTTGCTGGTGTGGTGTTGAATTAGGGGGGGTTGAGTGCATGAATATGAATTTTGGATGCGGAGGGGACGGGGTAATGGGATGAGGTGGTGCTGGAAAGATGAGATAAATGTATTATATTCGTTGGTGGTCGCCCTTGCTCTGGTGGGGGGTGAATATATTGAACTCAGATTGTTGATGTGAATATGCTCTTCTTGTCGGTCTGTTGTGCTAATGTAGTGTATTATCTTAAGGCTGTTCTTTACGGTGGAGTCATTTACATTCCTTGCTTAGTTCTACTTCGAAACCTTCGTCATCCGATGCTATCTTCCAAAGTCCTCTTTCATCTTAATCTTATTTTTCCTAATATTAATATCTTGATTCTTTAAAGACACAAAGATCCCGACTTAATAGTTTCTACTCTAAACGCCTGTTATCCGATGTTACCCTCCAAAATCGTATATTATTATGAGATTATTCTTCGTAAAGCCGTTTACTCTTAGGATGTAGGGTGTTTATGTTACTGATTCAATTTTCGCTAGGAAGCCTTAAACGCTATCGCATCATCTCGCAGATATTAATCTTAAACGTCAATGCCCCCATGTATGTATTTAACACTTTTTCTTTTCCTGTGTTTTTTCGAGTACTACTAATCATCTGACTATCATTCTTAAGTGTAGTAGTAGATCTAGGTAGCTAAGATATTTTACTCTACTCGATAGCGTCTATTATCTTATCGCTCTACTCTAGTCTCTTATTAACTCTAATTATAGAACACCTCACTATACCAAAGCTCGTTATTATCTTATCTATATTTGTGTAAGTTACAATACCTCACCTTATTCGAAATATTTTCTTCTACACTTATCTCGGTTGCACAGCTTTGATTGAAAAGGCAAAAACGCGAAATACGTAGGAATGGAACAGGGTTTTTGTGTTGAAATCATCATTGACTAGATTTGTGCTTGACTGGTACGAAATTCTATAGTTCCCACACGACAATTACCCTTTTAACACACCACCATCATCTCATCTCACACAAAATTCCTCCCCCCACCCCCATCCACATCCTCTCCCCTTCCAGCCTCCAGAACCCGAACCGTTTACACACAAACTCCTCTAACCATCCAACATCCTCCACTATCCCCTTACCCCTCCCCCCCTAAACACACACATCTCATCCCAATACCCCCATCTTCCCACACTCCCCTCTAAACCATCCACCCCTCTAAACCCCCTTACCCCTCCCTCCCCAAGCGCACCCCTCCAAAACCACAAACCATACCATTGTCAACGCTGAACTCTTACACTCAGCCACACCAGCGATCCTCACACTCAAGCACTACTCCCATATCTCAAGCGCACACCAAATACCACAAACTCTTACACAAATAAATCTCGCTTCGTGATTCGCCACCATAAACTCCCATCTCCAATTCATCCACATCACCTCCCTCAATTTATCCGTGACTTGTGACTTTTCTCACCCTCGGACTACGCGTTGAACATTCCGTGGTGATATGTGTGTGCTATGATGGTAAGCGGAGCGAGATAGACAGTATCCCTAGTACACATCGCACAAACACAGGACACCTCACAAATCGCGAATATAAACTTCATTCCACATCCCACACTCCAATCCCTTGACGCAATCCATACCATCGCATAAATAACCTCTTATCACCCATCTACAATAGACATAAACCCAAAATAAAAGTATACCTAAAAAATCCTGCACATGTCGATATCATAAAATTTCCAACACCCCTCGCACGTAAGCGAAGGTTTGTCATAGGTACCTTACCTACCCCTAACGCAATGAGATCAAGTCCTATTGCAGAGTCCCAATCTAGCAGCTGCAGCGCATTCATCAACCCCCAAACATCACGGCTTGTGAAAAAGACTCATCACATACGCACACAACACATTTACATTGACACATTTCACACACAGCACAAATGTAATTAACACATTTCATTCCCAGGCTACTCAGCTGCTACATTCCTACATTCCTATTTCCATCCATTCATCCACCTCAATGCTTATTTCCATCCACCTCATTCTCTCATTCTCTCAGACCTCAACCTCCCAAAGCACCAGCCCAAGCCCAAGTCCATGATACATAAAAAGCAATCGGGTATACACAAAAGCCCAAAAAGAGTAGTATAAACAGCGCCTGCCTATATATAATCCCCATCCCCAGCGCCCACAAATCATGCCGAAAAGCGCAGATGAATCAACACACACCAACCGATTGCGATATTCACTTTGCTCCTCACCCCTCCACCTCTTCGCAACACCTCCTCAGATCGATGGCGAAGAAAACACAAACCAGAAAAGTGACGCCCACCTAAACCAAAGACGTACAGGTACGCACCGACACATACAAACGAATCAAATGCCTGTCCCAAAATTGCGATTCCTGAATCTAAAGAGAGAAAATAAAACCAATAACACAGAAATATAAAGATTATCAAATTTGGTATAGAAAAATAGTACGAACGCCGAGTGATGAATCCGCTCATGATCATGCTTCTCTCTGGAATCCAGCCCAGACTCTTGCGTTTACAGCCGTCTAGGAACTGTTAACCCGTACATAATTTGGTAGTATGGCCTACTGTGGAGGCGTGTTTGAGATGGTTGGTGTGGTACCACCACTATGAAGAACAATACTTGACGGTCGAGGCGACGATGGCGGTTGCGATTTATGTCTTGCAATCATGGCCATTCTAGGTCGTAATCTCTCAAGTCTTGTACGCACACCAGCGATGACTTTGAATGTTAGCATTACTCAAAACAGCCATGGAAATTGCTTACTGTTTTGAACGGCTTTTCTATCCTCCGCCAAGACAATCTCAGCTTCATCATCTTGACTAACCTGCTCTCTCAGACTTGAAGACCTTCGTCGTTGAGTAGGCGGCTCATCATCCGTCTCCAGAATAGCTTCCAACATTTTAAGTGCAGTCACATACGACCTTTCCACCCCAGGAAGATCCTCATTTGCAATCTCATTGATGGCTGCTGATCGACTCATCTCAAGAGCACGATCATACATCAGCCGCTCAGCTGTTATCCCCGAAGTGAGAAAATAACCATCTGCTGACGAGCCTCCAAATCGAGATGAGCTATTATGCTGACTTGGATGTCCAGGATGATCTTCTGGAAGTTTCTTTTGAGCCTCAATAAGCTTCATTCGAACGATATCGGTCTTCTCGAGCACTTCATTAAATCGACCGCGGACCCATTGCACAGCGGCATTGATGTGTGTATTCGTAGCAGAACTTGGTGATTCGGGTCTGCTGTAACCATCACCTCGATTCCTTCGACTCCACCAAGATCCCGCAATGTCCATTGATTTGGCGAGTAGTGAAAGAGCTTTGACGTATAATACAAGCGCTTCTTCAGATAATGCAACTACAGCTTCCACGGTCAGTCCATCTTCATCAAGAGAACCAGTATCTCTAGCAACACCTCCGAGACCGTGATCCATGGAGGGTGTTAGAGGCACCAGTTGTTTGTACTTGACTTCGGCAAACCCATACACAACATCGCTTCTATTTGCAGACTCTTCGATAATGCTAATCGTCTTTTGGTCTTCATCCACAGGGGCAATGTGTCGGCCATCACCAAGTAGACCGATCGGACTCTGAGGTGCCGGATAAGTGGGGAAGGGACTGTAGGTCTGTGGAGGTGATAATCCTTTGCCAATTAACGAAGGAGCGAATCCGACACCAAACATCCTCACACTAGCACCATGAATAGCCTTGGCAATTGCTGATGTCGCAGATGGACTTCCACCATATGATCTGCCATATGAGCTTTGACGTTGTGTGACAATATCTTGACGTGGACGACCTTGTGCTATCTGAACAACACGTGATGGTGATGCCGGTACCGCTCCAGTCGCTGAAGAGGGTGGCCCCTGAGTAGTCGCTCGTCTTGTCATCTGGGTACCACGAGAAGTAGGCGATGATCGAGCACCACTATGTAACCGTGGGCTTGCGGCCATCTCGTCTGCAAACGCATTGACCTCAACTGCACGCTTCTCGACCAAAACGTATTCGCGAGCATCTTGAACTTCTTGCGCTGCTGCAGCCGCTGCATCGGCATTTGTATCTGGCGTTCGCGATGTTGTTGATGCCCTTTCTCGTCTAGGCACTTCATCGATGGACTGCTGTCTCGTCCGCTGATGAGGACTTGAAGGCATGTTCTGCATCCTGTGATTTTGAATTGCCTCGGGGTTTGGAGCAGTAGCTGACGGAATGATTGGCGGCCTTCGATGTTCACGAGGTTGTTCCTGGGGTTGTTGGCGAGAAGTTGATTGGCGGTGTTCACGAAGGCTAGGTCTTCTCTCAGGGGCGACTCTAGGGGGTGTTCCAGCAAGTTGTCGCACAGGATCAATGATCTGAGTCCGAGGCGAAGGTGTCATTTGTCGGTCGCGTGGTGAAGACGAGCTAATCGGCTCGGCTCGTGAAGACTGCCCATGACTACTCCGATGTGATTGAGTTCGAGATATAGGTACATCTCTAGATGCAGAAGCTTTTGGTAATTCTCGTGGCTGATCGTCTCCAACTAATCCTGGAATTGGATCTTTTACCACTGGGTGATTGAAGAATTTCGAAAAAGTTATACGATCCGCTGGTGTACGTTTCAGTAAGGCTCGGACCAACTCTTTCATCTCCGAGCTAACTACCACGTCCCTGGCAAACTTGATGTGGTCGTCGCTCTGCTCGATTTTGCGAAGCAACTCAACGTGGTTGGTCGCACGAAACGGTGGCTTTCCTGTGACCATCTCGTACAAGACCGTGCCAACTGACCACAGATCCGCCCGAGCATCATACTTTTCATATCTGAGAATTTCTGGAGCCATGTACAGAGGAGATCCACATAGTGTTTCTGCCATTGATGTCGCTGGTAATGATCGGGCGAAGCCGAAATCGGCAATCTTCAGCATTGGCAAAGATGTGAGACCCACCATGGGTTCCAATGTATTCTCACTTGCGCTCATAACTAACGGAGCATTCTTGCATCGGGCCAAGTATTCCTTTGATGGTAGGATAAGCAGGTTTTGTGGTTTGACATCTCGGTGGATGAAGTCTCGATCGTTCATGTATTCCATAGCGCTTGCAAGTTGCTTGAGGAAATGTCGAACAATAACCTCGTTCAACCCGCCTGCTGGAGGCATGGGATACTTCCGAACCATATCTTGAAGTGCCGGATTATCTGCCAGCTTGTCTCTCTTCTTGATAAAGTACGAAAGATCTCCCAGCTCACAGTATTCCATCACCAAGTTTATGTTCGACGTTGTTTCTTTGATGTCAATCAGGGCAACGATATGCGGATGGTGTAAGCCTCGGAGGATCTCGATTTCGCAGTAGAGGTTCTCTTTTAGCTTTTTGCTGAGCTTGGTAAGATTGACTTGCTTGACAGCAACCAATGCTCCGGTAGCCTATGAACCTGGTTTAGCGTAAAGTCCATTGTGATGTTATGGGCAGACAGATGGAGCTGGATACAAGCTCGTGAGTAGATGGAGCTTCGGATGATGATGAAATGATGGATACTGATTGGGAAGTGACTAAGAATATGCTGCCTACCTCATGACGACCTCTGTACACCGTAGCAAAGCTTCCTTTCCCGATCTCGTCCTCGACAATAAATGCACCAACCTTGACATCGCCCGTCCTCGACCGTCTCGAGCGAGATGATGAGGACGGGGGCGGTAGGGCCGCCATATCGATACGCCCGACCTTGAACTAGCAGGTCTCTTGACCCTGCACCGTTGATGATATCCGTATGTACTACCAGGCGAGATGAGGATATAAACTCGAGGTGAGTTCGTTCTGCATGTACACAAAGCTCGATGTTGAATAGAGGTAGCCGATACTCAAGGATTCGTGTTGGCAGATATGCTATGCTATGCTCGTACGCGGAGCTCGACGTCGGTATGCAAATGGAAGAAATAAGTGAACGAGGGAAGATGGAAGTGAACTTGTCGAGCCTTATTGTCCCAGCAAGGTGGATGAAGGCAACCAGCACCCGTTTGGCTGTGGACTAAAGCCTCACGATCAACAAATGCGGATGCCGTCGATGGGTAGGTAAAGTGCCTGATTTGGTGGCTGTTGGTTCACGGTAGGCTTCCGGGGAGGCGGCTTGCGAGCAACGGACAGGTGCAGTCGTGTATGTAGGGTGCTTGAGATGCTGGAAGTTGCTGGCTGCTGGCTGCGTATGGAGAGATGGGTGACTGGATGTGCAGGACAAGGCTGCAGATGGTTGGCTGTGTTGATGATTGTCCGGCCGGGAGCAACGACTGAGGGTCGGGCAGTCTGGTCGATTTCAAGTTAATGACTCGACGGGGAAAGGAACCTCTCGAGGTGAATGGGGACGATGCAATGAAGTGATACAGCACCGCGCCGACGAGAGGAGGTTATGCGTGCTGGGGGCGAAGCGGTGGACGGTGACTGGATGGTAGCGGCGAGAGGCACGTCTTGGGTGGTGGTACTTGCGTCGTGTGAGTTGTAGGTTTGAGATGGATGTAGGTGAGTGAATCCGCAGATGTATTGATAGAGGAATCGGGAGGAGGAGAGGATAGAAACAGAGGATGGTGAGAGAGGTGACGGATGATGAAGATAGACGGAGGCAAAGATGATGAGAAATAGAGTTGACTTCGACTACGACTACAACTCCGATGTGATGACCTGGACGGGCAACAACCGTCAACCTTGTGACTCGTCCCGTGATGCGATTCAAGACGTGCTCTCGACCCGACCCTTGTGCTATGGACGCTTCACTACCAACCTTGGAAAACGGCCCAACCCTTGACGTGCATGACTAAGAATCTCCACTCCCGGACGCGGACACAAAGTACCGAATGGAACGCTGAGATAGAAGCTTCATCCACCACGATAACAAAGATAAAGAGATACCAGCGATAGCTCGTAGCATCTGACGACGACGACACCATCTCAGTAACTACACCAGTCAGGCAACTAGATAGATCTAATCCATTCAACTACACCGGATCAAGCTGCCAAATGTCTCTCTCGCACGGCTAATGCCTAGTCCCCATAACAACCCTCTACACCCTCCCTCCTTATCTATGCACCTAACGGCCATCCTAACGAACTATCACATTACACCTACTTATTCCCACGAGTCTATCGCCCGTACACGAACCTAGTCCAACTATAAAACAACCTAATCCCGTACAACAACCCTATTCAACCTTCCAACAACCGTCTAACACCGTTCTCGTACCTGTGCAACCCCCCATGACTAGCCAAGTATAACCTCATCGTCGTACAGAGATTCGCCATCGATCGGTAGACCCTTGTACGCATCTACATCTACAACTCATTTTAAGGTGGAATTTCGCAATGCGAGTTTAAAGGTGACTCGATTGTGGCGAGGCCTAGTGCGATGCAATGCATCCGTCCAGCGTAGGTACGGTGTACGTCCGTACAATAAAGAGTCATCGCTTACCGCCCGCGAGAGTCCTGAGTCCTGTCAAGACCCAGAGCCAAACATTGAATTCGACACGATACTATCAACGCACTTTAGGAATCGAAGGAGAAATCACAGAAGCCACTTCCAGCAGAGATTGTTGGTGTACAATAATCCGATTAATTATCTAATCAATTATCCAAGAGTCAATCCAGATCTATCACACACCCCTCACAGCTTCCAAAGCAAGTGGCATAATTTATCGCTATCGTCTTGCTATCCCAAGACGCACGACCCAATCCCATCCCGCTCATAAATATTTTCTATGCATACTTTTCCCATTTACCTTCCAATCCAATGTACGCGATGGAACGCCAAGATGATTCTAGTCCTCTCCAAATATATAAAAGGGGTATCGTTTAGTCGTCCAGCCCGATATGGACATTCTTCTCTCCAGGTGGAATGACTTTCGCCTCAGCTTCTCCGTGAAGATCTGGGAGTTCGATGATGGACTCCTTGATAATGTTCAATGCCTCCTTGATCTGTTCCTCGCTGATAACAAGAGGTGGTGCGAGTCTAATGATATTCTGGTGAGTGGGCTTGGCCAACAATCCCTTACTCTTCATCAACATGCAGAGATCCCACGCAGAGTGACCATTGGTCTTTGCCTCGTCGATGACAATCGCATTTAGCAACCCCTTTCCTCGAATAGTGGTAATCATTGGCGATTTCAAGTCAGCAAGACCTTGACGAAAGATGTTACCAAGAATTTCAGCACGGTTCGTCAAACCCTCCTCTTCCATAATCTCCAAGGCTCGGATGGACACTGCACATCCAAGAGGATTGCCACCGTATGTCGACCCGTGAGTACCAGGCTCGATGGTAAGCATGATCTCCTTAGATCCAAGAACACATGAAACTGGATACATTCCACCTGAAATGGCTTTTCCTAGAGTAACCATATCTGGCTTGATGCCTGCCCACTCCGAGCACAACATGCGCCCAGTTCGACCAATACCAGTTTGAATCTCATCACAGATCAAAAGAACATTGTGCTTCTTGCAGAGCGCTTGAACTTTGGTGAGGTAATCATCTGCAGGTACCACAACACCGGCCTCTCCCTGGATGGGCTCAATAATGATAGCAGCAGTCTCCTTTCCATGCGCCTCGAATGCTGCCTCAACATCCGACACGTTGTTGTATCTGATCGACTTGCCAGTCGCGGGGCACGTTGGACCGACATTTGGTACGTATGGGCCATAGTTGTCTCTCGATTCCGGGTCGGTGGACATGGAGATCGCAGTCATCTAATTCTTGTTAGCAAATCATCTCTCAACATTCGGTTGTAGCCTACTGTTCTTCCGTGAAAGTTCTCCTCCACCGCAAAGACCAATGCCTTTCCATCCGGTACCTTCTTCACCTTGTACGCCCACTTTCGTGCAACCTTGATGGCAGTCTCTACTGCTTCGGCCCCAGTGTTCATAGGCAGAACCATATCATATCCAAACACATCCTTGACCTTCTCTGCCCATTTTGGGAACACATCGTTATGGAACGCGCGCGAAGAGAGAGTGAGACGCTGTGCCTGTTCGCAAAGCGCTTTGACAAGTTCTGGATGACAATGGCCCTGGTTGACGGCAGAGTAAGCGGATAGGCAGTCGATATAATGCTTTCCCTCGGGATCCCAAGCACTGGAGCCTTGGGCACGCGCGAAGACGACTGGGAGAGGGTGGTAATTATGTGCGGCGTATTTGTGTTCCGCATCGATCGCGTCGGCAGTCGATTTCGAGTGATACTTGGATTCTGCTAGGGCTGCAACTGGCTGGAAGGTTGGGGCGGTCGGTTTGAGGATGCTGTCATTGGCGGCGACGGTGTTGCCATCTGCGTGCGGCGCCATTTTTGCGGTTGATATAAAAGATGTGGGAGTACGTGCGAGGGTAGTAAGCTATCTGTTTTCGTGTGGAGGGGTTGAGGATGGTGGGGTCGGAAGTAAGTGAGGAAATTCGAGGCTAATATTGTTGTATTGTAGACAAAGTGAGACGGAAGGAATTAGGAAAAGAAGTTTTTGTAGGAGAATTGGGAAAGCAGTCTAGAATTGGTACTAGTCCTCTAAGTGCAAGTGTTTGCGGTTTTCTGGGCTATCTCTCCGTGTGACCATTTGGTTGACTAAAAGAATCTGTTTGCTGCTTCAACCTGCCATTAGGGATCAGAACAATCAACAATTCACAAGTTCTCGTGTGAACCTGCGCTTAGGGGAAGAAGAGGGCGTCGTAGTGGGGTGACCGGCGCAGGGTGTTGAGCCGAAAATCGGCTTTGGTGGGTGACGACCAATCATGAGAGCGGCTTACTGTGCTACGTCTACGCACTCTGATTGGTCTCTTAGCGATACCCTTTTTTGCTGTGTCATGTGATTCTGGAAATAGGTTCTGCCGCCCCGGCGGATCCCCTAAACACGTGCATCAGTTTTGTGATATATCGAGCAGTACATGTACATGTTTTGGCGGAAGCTTGATTGTGAACGATTGATGAGGTGATTTAGTATTGAAACTCTAATTTCGCTATACCTCCATCCACTCACAACTTCATCCATTATGAGCGGAGCCAAAGGTTTAGGCAAAGGTTCAGCCAAAGGTTCATCCTTCTCTTTGAAAGCTCGCTATGAACCCCCCGTCGAACAGATTGAAGATGTTCACCCCCTAGTCTACGAGCAACGATGCAGAGATATATGGATGGTGCTATTTGCATTCCGCATCATAAACGCACTTTGCGTTCGCACATTCTTCCAGCCAGATGAATATTTTCAATCCTTAGAACCAGCTTGGAAAATGGCATTTGGACCTGACAGTGGAGCTTGGATCACGTGGGTATGTCGTCTCCCCAGTCCTATCAGTGATATACTGAACTGCTTTAGGAATGGGAGCATCAATTACGGTCATCGTTACATCCAGCATTGTTTGCAGTAGTGTACTACGGAGTGGATAAAGTTTTGTCGATCGTGGGCTGCTTCCCCCAATTCCGAGCCATGATTCTGTCTGTGCTACCGAATCTAGTTCAGGCTTTATTTGCGAGTGGCATGGATTTCCATACCTGGCAACTTGCTGATAAAATCTATGGAAAAGGAAGCAGAGCTGGTTGGGCAGCTGTAAGTGGACCTACTGCCCCCAATTTGATGACTACTGATAATGCCAGCTTTTTATAACCGTTGTCAGTCCATGGAATTGGTTTTGTTCTACAAGGACTTTCTCCAATTGCTTGGAGACTGCGTTTACAATTGAAGCTTTAAATTATTTTCCTTGGCAGTTATCTTCTGATGGCTTGCCGGTCTGGACTGGCCCACTCAGATTTGTCGTTGCAGGTAGAGTCGGAGTTGTCCAGCCTCGTAGTTCAACTACATCGAAATCGTCTATTTTCGCCGACCGCAAATCTCTTACAAAGTAAGTAAATGTTCCACCTCACATACTTCACACAGCATCCTAACATATTTTCAGCCTGAGATTGTGTATTATGCTCGCTTGTTTAGCATGTATTCTACGACCGACGAATGCCTTGATTTGGTTCGCGATATTGATGCCAGTGCTCACTCGAACGTTTTCCTCGTCCACACGACTTCAAACTTCTGATTACCTAATATTACTTCGAGAGGCAGTTCTTGTCGGTTCGGCTGTCTTTGCTCTCTCACTTATCTCTGACCGCCTCTACTTTGGGGAATGGACATTCCCACCCTACCAATTCCTCTATTTCAACATAAATCAAAATCTGGCTGTTTTCTATGGAAGCAATGATTTCCACTACTATCTTTCGCAAGGACCACCACTCTTGCTCACGACGCTTCTGCCATTCGGTCTGGCCGGAATTTGGAAAGCGAGTTCTCTTCCATCATCAGATGTCCGCTTTCACCTTCTGATGGCAATCTTGGTTTCTATTGGCTCCCTCTCATTGATATCTCACAAAGAAGTTCGATTCATATACCCTCTTCTGCCACTATTGCATATCCTCGCCGCACCATCTTTGGCCTCCTTTTTCACCGCTACTGAAATATCGTTAACAAAACCAATTGCGAGCAGTCCCACAGCAGCCCCCAAAGTAAGGGAAATCAGGACGATGAAAATCATACGTAAACCGCAGCTGGTGATCCTTATCTCTATTTCTGTGCTTGTTTCTTTCTACACCGCTACACGACATCAACGCGCTCCCACCACCATCCTCTCAACGCTTCGTCACGCCTATGAAACCGAATTTCTCGACGCTCACGGCGCTGTCAAATCTTCGGCTCAACCAACACAACCGTTTGTTACGTTTCTAACGCCCTGCCACTCCACTCCCTGGCGAACTCAGCTCACCTACCCATCTCTCTCCGCCTGGGCACTCACTTGTTCACCCCCGCTTACAATCCCACCCAACACACCCGAAAGAGCTGCGTATAGAGATGAGGCGGATAGATTTTACGATAACATGACGTTATTTCTGGATACCGAGGTTGGTGTAGCAGGGAGAGAATGGCCGCCGAGATATGTTGTGGGGTTCGAGGGGATTGAGAAGGGGTTGAGTGGGTGGGTTGAGGAGAAGATGAAGGGGAAGCTATTAAAGGAGAAATGGAGAGTTGGAAATAGTGATTGGCATGATGATTGGAGACGCGTTGGCGATATGGTTATTTGGGAGTTTGTTGATAGAGTATAGATTACATGATAGGTTCCTGGCGTACTGGAAAGTCAAAACTCGAAATTGATTAAAAGCAGTATAAGAATAATATTAAATGGCTCCAGATCACCCACATAATTTTCGTTACTGATACATTATAATTTTCCAAATATAAAGTTGTAGTATCTTCATGTAATTAAATATTTCAAGTGAGATAGGCAAGTAGTAGGATTATTGTAATAATTATCCGCATATCCTTTTTAAGCTTTTCGTGATCGGCGTCGACCTTGTCATTCTACTCGCGTAATAAAGAATCCTGCTCGGATGAGTCCTCAAAAATTTAAAAGGTGAGGCATTAGTAGTTTGGGACATGAATGTTCACGCCCTGGCAAATATAGCGAAGCTGTGCAGGAGCGGCAACTACACTCGATCGAGGCAATTATTTGCAAACGTTCGTTAGTGAGTAGGTAATAGAGCTAATGTTCTGTTATATTATAGTATTATCTCCTTTTTTCCTCACGTGGTTTCACATGACTAGAATGGCAGACATGGGTACTTGCCACTTATATATACTCTAAATAGAGTTTCTCCTTCGTACGAAACAAAACAATTTCCCAATAAACATCGAACTGTTATTTTTTTTGATTTACGTTGCCGTCTGAAAGAACCACCCAGAAGTCAATGCGGCTGTCCCTTTCTCGTTTTACCACAATCAGAATCATGACCTACCTATACCCTCCTGAAAACGACGACGGCTTCAGTCCACTTCATATAGCAGCGTCTAATAAAGATATCGTCGGTCTCAAAGCGCTACTCGACCAGTCTCAAGACTGCATCAATTCGCGCGACCCCTGGGAACACACACCTCTTCAGATTGCGGTTCAGCTGAATGATCTCCCCGCCGTTCAACTCCTACTTTCTCACGGCGCAGACCCAGACCTTCCAGTCCCAGATAACTACTCATATCTTGTTGACGGGTCAAGTTCGCTCAGTCTAGCGGCGACTTGTGGTCATGTCAAAGTTTGCCAACTGTTGGTGGAAAATTCAGCTCGTGTGACCTCGAAACCACTTTACATGGCAGCCGAGTTTGGAATGTTGGAATGTGTTGAATTCTTACTATTATGGTTCGCGAAGAAAGAAGGAACACTGTGTGATGATGGAGTTGCGAAGACCAAGGCAATTGGGACCGCGCTACAGATCGCTGCGGGAGGGTGGAGAAGTGAAATCGTTGAGGTCATACTGCGTGATAGAGAAATTGAGAGAAGGCTTTTAGACCGAGCCTTGTCGTGGTCAATAGTGGATGAAGACGAGCATTACGACGACTTTCATGTCAAGAACTCAGTGCCTAGGAAGACACCAGTAGGAATAGGAAAGCGAATCAGCACGGTTAAGTTATTGCTTGATGCTGGAGCTGACCTTGATGCCAACACAGAATTCCTTGGGCTCCAGCGCATGACTCTCCTCCATCAAGTTGCTGTATTAGGCAGTCGAGGAAAGGAGATTTTCGATTTATTCCTTGAGAAAGAGCCAGAAATAAATCCGGAAGATGAAGATGGACAGACACCTCTGTTCCCAGCAGTTTTGGCAGATGATGTTTATTTCGCCGAGAAACTTATTGAGAGAGGTGCAAAGGTCGATCATACCAACAAGGAGGGGCGTACAGTGCTACAGATCTCGACAGGTAATCTTTCGTCTGCTTGCAAACCTATTGTTTCACTCCTCCTTGACCACGGGGCGGATATCTCTGCTCTAACGCAGGCAGGAGAAACCATTCTCCATCTTGCAGCACATCATGGCAATCCTGCAGCGGTAAAGAGCTTACTTTCACTCAACTCTTGCAAGATGGATACATTTCATTACCCTAAGTCTCATTTACCAAGTCCTCTATGGGGTAAAACAACAACCACTGACAGCAGTATTCTAGATGGAGATTTTCACTCGATACTTAAACGCCCCAATGCTCTCAGCTAGGACTCCAACTGGTTTCACACCCCTTCACTGCGCAGTTAATGGGTACAACGCCCCTCCATGCATCGCTGTTGTCAAGTTCCTTCTCTCTCAAGGAGCCGACATCAACGGGCCTACCAATGGCGGCCGCACGATTTTGCACCTCGCTGTCACTAGTAGCTTAATCGACAAAATAGACTTAATATCATTTTTGCTAGAACACGGTGCCGATGTGAATGGCTATACACATAAGGTACTCGCGAAGTCGGAGACTCCAAAAACGGAAATCGTAGACTCACCACTCCATCTCACTCTCGACATCCTAGACACCCACCGAACAGACTTCAATATCATACATCTCCTCTTAGAAAAAAGCGCCGCGCTCGAAACTAGAGATAGCACAGGGAAAACGGCACTTCTTCGTTGTGTGATCGGACGGGAAACTACTCCGCTCAGACGAAGAGTTGTGCGGGAGTTGGTTAGGAGAGGAGCGCATACTGAGGCTGTGGATAATCGGGGAAGTGGATTTGATGCTGATGTTTGGTGTGTGGAGGAGGTTGTTAGAGCTTTTGTGGTTGATAGGGGGAGAGGGAGGGGGAGAGAGAGAGGCAGAGGTGTAGGTTTGAGTGCTGTGGGTGGTTTGGGTGAAGATTGATGGTTTGATGTTGGAAAAGTTGGAATTAGGAAGCTTAAACAGGTTAAACAGGCAAAATAACCTAACAATTAACACCCACAGGGTGATACTTGTGGAAGCTTGGTAGTGTTATCAAGCCTTCGTAGCAGAATGGTTAATTTGAAACAACTAGGTAGAAAATTCTGCATTTTGTGATGATAGTTGTAGTTTTTGTAATAATTTGTTGATGGTTAATTCTAATGTAGCTAAACTCACAGGATGTTAGGAAAGTGGGATGTGGATTTCAATTTGTTTAAAAAAACTTATGTAACAAGAAATTAAAGCATTTCATCTTCTCCTCGGTACTATTAAATTTTTGTTATATGTTGCTGCTACAATATAATTGGAATTGGATTGAAATTTAACCATCGGATGGAGACAACAAGCTATGAATTTTATTTTATTAACCTTCTGGGTAGAACTCTGTGTACTCTATTGCTTCTGAACTAGATTGCATTCAATTATTCACTGTTATACTCTCTATTCTTTCACTCTCCTGATTACTCTTTCGTCTTTCAATTACATCTAGTCTTTTAACCTAATTAACATAATCTATAATCTTATTCCTTCATCTCCACCTTCGGACTATCAACCCACACTTCACCCGGTGCCCATACAGCCCCCTCGCGCTCCCCTCCCTCACCAACCCCAAAAACCCTGACAAGCGGATGAACAATCAACCCTACTTCCCTCCCCAGCAACCCACCCTCAACCTCCTCCCACCTTACCGAAGAATGCGGAACCAACACTCTACTATTTCCATCAAACTTCGGGCTCTCCAACTCCTTCAGGGTATACAACACCACATGAGACTTTCGCATCCACAGTGTATACGCGATGTGCGCTGCGCGGTTGTACAGCGCTGCGATCTTAGGCGAGGGGGTGAGGAGATGGCGGGCTGGTGAAGCGAGGAAGGCGTCAGATTTTAGGGAGGAGACGCGGGATATTAGTGAGTCCAGGGGTACTATTGATCTGTTCTCTTCTGAGTTAGCTTTGGCACTTTTGTCCTGTGGGTTTGTTTTGCTGTCGTCTTTTAAAATTCTCAACATCTGGGCTCTCCACAAGTGGGGCGTTTCTCGGTTCGCTAGAGTTCGCTTAGCGACGACCTCCTGAGGGACTAAATCCACCGCCTTACCTTGAAGCATGCGTTTATATATATCATTCAATATTGTGTCCATTCTATACTCCGGAATATCTTCTTGTAGTCCCGTCTCGACAAAGAAAAACGGCTTCCGAAACAGATTCGTGAAGATATCATGCGCCAGCAGCGCATTGAGGAGAAGAGCGGGAGATTTTGGCGTCATCAGTTCCTCTGGAATCGTTCTATTTCTGAGGACGCAGACTTCGGATAAAGAGCCCATAAGAGCTGTGTGATCTTCTTCGGAGAGGTTTCGGAGAGAGATTGGGTCTTTTATAGCCATGTTCCGTGCTAGCGTTCGCATGTCTTTCTTCAGCTTTTCGAGATCCGCGATGTCTTGATTGCCGTCACGTTGCCATTGTGCTGAGTCTTCTTTCTCAGATGATTCTTTGAGTTTTTGGAGGATGAAGGATTGGTATTCTGCTTCGATCTTGGTTTTTTCGTTTTCGATCTGCTTCCTCTCGGCGTCGACTCGCTGCTTCTCTGATTCGATCTTGCGGATCTCCTTTTCAAAGGTATGCCTATTGTTGACAGCTTCAGTCTTCAACTTCTCGGCGTAATCCTCCAAATTCTGATTTTCTCTTTGCGCTTGGGCAAGTTGATCCTGAAGGCTTTTTCCGTACGCCTGCCACTGCCCCCCTCTCGTCTGTGTAGCTTGTTCTGATTTGTGGCTAGATCCTGTCCGTGGTGCCACTGCTATATTTGTTGAGTTTGAATTACTGGCCTCTCTATTCAAACGATCTCTTTCGAGTTGTCGTGGGTCTTCAGATCTGTGTTTTCGCTTTGGACGCTGCTCGGGGATCGGAACTGGTGGTCGGGATCTACCCGGAGAAAGGCTTTCCCAAAATTCAATGGCTTTTTGGAAGACCCGCGGCGGTCTGTGAACCTCTGCGAGAAAATCAGGTTCGAGGGGTGTGTTTCTTGAATGATTGGTCTGACCTTCGTAACTACTTCTTCCTGGTACCGTTGGCTGAGGAACCTGGGCCTGTGGTGGCATCTCGTAGTCTTCGTAATCGTCTGTGTCTGTTCCTGGATCCAAATAAAGACCTATATCGCTTGTAGCTGGTTCTGGAATTAATCTGGTACAGCTCTTTTGACTCTTTTCTTGCTGCTTTGTTGCCATTCTGTCTTGCTCAGATGGATTTTGGCTTGACATCTTATAAATTGAGTCGGTATATTTCCTAGACAATTCTGTACTTTGCTGAATTGTAGATCGTCAATTGTATGCGAAAGAACTCGGTTGCAACGGAGCGCTCTCCACAGGTAAATGTGCAACAGCTGTAGAAGTAGGGTCAATGGAAGAACCAACATCACCAACAATTAGCGAAGCAGGGATTTCAAGATAAACAAGAGCTCATGAAAATGATAGCGCAGCCACCGCTAGAATAGTCCGTTCTTGGGAAAGATTTTTGTTAAGTACAATGCCTATATCAAGAACACTTGGTACTTATCCAGCAGATATCTGGGTTACAATGTATTGCTGAAAAGAAGCATTCAATGTAACCGCGGACTTTCGCGCCATTTGAAAGGGCGCGGCATTGCAACCTTTACGGGTAAACAGACACCCGCATGATACATGCTTGTAGGGTCGTAGTACAGATCAGAGGCGCGTTGCTGAAACATAGACTGCAGCGGGAAACGCTTGCCTATGTGTCTATTCTGGAAGGATCATCAGGAAAGATTATCTTTACCCAATTAAATACGAGTACTCAAAACCGATAGTGTGAGAGCTATCTAGGCTGTATCTACATATGTCTATTGTAATTGGACCGAGTTTCAGCATGGCACACGGCTTGAAGGCTGTGCAAATCTATGAGGGCGTGATTCTCGTCGGCGATGCAGGCGCCCCAGCGACTTTTCAGCGGCAATCTTGCCGGATAACACCCTACCTGCGGTTTTATGTATTTCAGACCGAGCTACTCCATGCACTGCTGACTTTTCCGCATTTGTAGTGCGCCGCTATCGTTTTGCGACAAACTCAACATTCAAAGTACTTGTACTAGTAACACTTTCGACGACAACACCATAGCCATCTTTCAACCAGAAGAAATTTGCGATTCATCATCAGCAGATTATGAATTTCCCCAGAGCGAGCGATTCGCTTTTCAGCACCAGGGAAGCCTTAGATGCTCTTTCGCTTCAAAGCTCTTTCAAGCCCAAGATCATTGTTGGAATTGACTATGGCACCACATTCTCCGGTAAACACGGTAGCTCTTGACTACAATGTATCCAATTGACCTTGACTAGGCGTCAGTTTCGTTACTACAGATAAAAGCAGCATAGAAGATATCAAAATTATCGATGGATGGCCAGGAGATAGCTTTCAATCTTGGAAAACACCAACCAGAATCGCGTATTGTCAGGAGAATGACAGACTTAAGGCTAACGAATGGGGCTTTCGAGTTCACCCCAAGCTCAAGTCTTACTCTTGGACCAAGTTATTACTCGACAAAAACGCGAACGTAAGCGAGCATGATGACCCAGGACTCAGCGGTACAGAAGGGATTGGAGCGATCCAACTTCCTTCTTTTCGTGACGCTCAGGGCGTATGCGAGGACTTCTTGAGCGAAGTATACAAGCACACTGCAAAGGTGATTAAATTGCAAATAACCGAGTCAACCTTTGACAAATTACCCATGGAGTGCTGGATCACATTACCAGCTATATGGTCGGACGAGGCAAAAGCAGCTACTCTCGCAGCAGCAAAGAATGCTGGTTTCGGCCGTAGAGAAACAGACGAAGTTTTCACCATATCTGAGCCGGAGGCAGCTGCAATCGCGACTCTCAACAAGTATACGAAACCTGGTGCCTTGAATCCCATCATGGTAAGATACCTCGAAATGTGTTTCTGGTGATTATTGACGATGAGTATTTAGCAAAATGAAAACATTCTCATCTGTGATTGTGGAGGTGGAACTGTTGACATTACAACATATAAGATTTCACAGGTACAACCTTATCTTCTTTTCGATGAACTTTGCGTTGGTGCAGGTATGTCAAACTCTGTCTTCATGACCATCCTCGATTCCTAACAAAAGTGCCGAATAGGAGGAAAATGCGGTTCTACTTATATCGACCGTAATTTGCATGCCCTGCTATCCGAAAGATTTGGGTCAGCCTTCGATGATCTCTCGTTCGGAATTAAAGGCCCTGGTAGTAGATTTATGACTGATTTCGAAGGTTTGAAGCGAAATTTTGGGCGTGACGATAATGATGATGACCAAGAGTTGGGTCCCATCAATATGAATGCTCCGGAGTCAGAGTTCTACGATTCTGACAACAAGTTTGTCGTTATCTCAAAGTAAGACTATGCCTGAAAATGCAGCCCAGAGCTCTAATTCGTAAACTATTTAGTGATGATATGAAAACTGTGTTCGACCCAGTTGTTGACGAGATCATCAACTTGGTTGGTAACCAAATTGAAGAAGCAGAAGCTCGCAAAGATGCCAAAATCAATGTAAATGCAGTTGACTAATCCATTCGCAAGACATGGAACTGATTATGGTCCTCTCTCAGAGAATTATCCTTGTTGGCGGCCTTGGCGAGTCCGCTTACCTCAACAAGGTACTAGCAGAGTGGTGTGAAGAAAATGGAGAAATTGCTTTGCTCTGTCCTGCAAATCCGTAAGTCTGATGAAACTCGAGCATGTCACCAAGTTGATAGGCGACAGTCAAGCTGCAGTTGTCCAAGGAGCTGCTTTACGCGGTCTTGAGGGAATCGCACCCCAAGTCAAATATGCCAGGCGCCACTACGGTTACAGAATATCGTTCCCCTTTCGCGAGGGGGTAGATCCAAAGGAGAGGTCTTACGTGGGCAGGTTTAATGGAAAAGAATACTGTACTGGCAGAATGAAGTGGCTCATATCGAAAGTATGTTGTTTACCGATAAAACCTTTCGAGAAATCGCTAGGTACATATTTCTAACCATGGATTTGCATAGGGAGATGAAATAACTAAAAACACCAATTTAAAAACATCATTTACTTTGATTTACACACCAGGAGAACCCATATATGATCAACTACTTCTATATTCTTGCGCACTTGCAAAAGCACCTGAATATTTCGATGACCCTAGTATGCTCCATCTTTGTCTAGCCTTAAAGAAGCAGGGTTGCTAATCGACAACAGGAGTTGATCTAGTCGGGACCGTAGAGTCAACGATCAGTCGAAAGTTTGATTTTGGCAACAGTAGCCAGTGTAGATACAATGAGACACTGAAAGAAATCATCCACAAGTGTATTTTTGATGTTCAAGTTCGATTTGGTGATAAAGGGGATAACTTGAACTTCAAGTGCACTGTCAATGGCAAGGAGGCTGGTTCATCAGTCATAAAATTCGATAAATGACCATCAGACAGCTCTTAAACCGGTAACGAGGAGTCAAGATCAAGGGAATAAGGGTGGTGATCTCGCGGTTGATTGGATTAACAAGAAAACAAAACGTCGCGCTAATTCGTGACTTCACAGCTCAATTGGACAAGTTGTGTTAACCAGACCACTTGATTCACGTCACTGCAGGATGTTTTCCGTATAAATTCTGTCACACCTAAATACCGACGTGTATATCCTCTATTCTGCTCAGCCTGTGTTCGTGCAATGAATTGTGTACCTTTTTTCCGCCAAGAGAATATCTAGGAGAGGCTCTACCATGACTCATAGATTGAAACGCTGAATAATTTCACACCAAGAAATTAGCATTTCTTTTTTGGAATTTCAGTACATTTATTTAAGGGCTCATTACCGCTCTTGGTTGTGAGATCTGTATCCTATCATGCTTGCATAACCTGGAGGCGAGAATGCGGTCTATCCCCTGCATGTTGGTGTGCTTCGATGTACACAACAATGACCAATGAGATCAATTCGGCCGTTCATTGCATACCATCCGACGGGCCATTTGCTCCAGATACGCGCCTCTTTCCACTTCCAGCAGGTGACTCAAGAGTGTTCTGCCAATCCTCCTCTCTTTCAAACTGATGATAGTTCAAGTATTTTGCATTTTGTTGATAGTTCATAGGTGTTAGCCTGCTTATGAGTCAACTTTCTTATGGCTTCTCCACTCGATATTAGTGTCCAACAGGCACGAGAAGTAGTTCGTAAAGTCAGTAGTAAGAATGGATGGATTGAGCCAGAGGAGGAGGCCGCCACACCCCTTGGAGTTTTGGAAGCTCTTTCCAACGTTCGCGAAGAACTTGCGACTTTAGTGGAAGTGTAAGTATCTGAACCTAAGTTACCCTAGTCTTTAAGTTGCCCAATTAATGCTTAACAGTATCTCGGAGGATATTGGTTCGGGCAGAGGTCGCTTCATTCTAGAGCTGACGCAAAACGTGGAAGATTGCTCGTTCGACGTCACGAACGATCCCCCATGGCTCAACTTTGACCTAAGTCCTGAGAGGATTGTTGTAGAATCAAATCAAGACGGGTTTAATGAAAGGGATGTGCGCTATGTTTGTCGTACCGGAGACAGCTGGAAAAGGCAAGCGCATGGGTATGTTGGGAATAAAGGAATCGGATTCAAAGCGGTATTTCAAGTGGCATCCCGAGTCGATATACAGTCTAACGCCTTTTCTTTTCATTTTATTTATAACAGACAAGGTACTGTTGAGGATCGATTGGGTATGGTTACTCCTCTCCAAGGAAACACTCCAATTCCCGAGCAAGAGCGACCTTTAACCAGAATGACATTAACAACGAATGTTTCCAATTACGACAATATACTTCGTTACTTTGATGAAATAGATTCAACGCTATTACTGTTCCTACAAAAGATTCAGACTATCAGTATCAGAGTTCACCAGCAAGCGGGAGGATGCAGGACCACAACATTTAGCCAAAGAGTACCTTACGAAAACGTATCTGCTCAATGGACCACTCTTATTAAGACGGTGGGAACCGAGGACGCTGCATCAAGCGAATTGAGTGAAACTTCACACTACTATGTTTTTAAAAGCACCCTCACAGGGTTGTCTGCCGAACACACACGTCCAGAGAGAGATGGATGTGAACTGGTATTGGCATTCAGAGTGGACGATAATGATCAGCCTCTATTACCTACACGTTATGACGTCTTCGCGTATCTTCCAGTCGGGAATTTTGGATTCAATGTACGTGTCCGCGGTCAGGAAATGTGCTACAATTAACAAGCATCTAGTTTTTGATTCAAGCAGATTTTATCTTGCAAGCAAGCAGAGAAGAAATTATGTCCGACTCTCAGTGGAACCGCGACATCTTATCCTCAATTGTAGACAGCTTTTCTGAAGCAATGCTCGACTTCTGCCGCAGATACGGCCCCCTCAGATACAATTGGGTGAAGTATCTACCTTTCGGAGGAGTGCTCGAGAGCCACTACTTCTGGAGGGAACTACCTGGTAAGGTTCTCGATCGACTAAAAGATGAATATATTTTATATCTTCATGGGACAAATGAGCTTCGAAAGCCGCAAGACGTGAGGACGTTTCCTCCACAAGGATACGTGGATGACAATGGATCGCCTTTGTTCAGGGACCGGCCCGGAAGACACAGCAAATACCTATCGCTAGAGTATGGAGCCCTAAATATCCAAATTCTCAAGAGAATTTTTGGCATTGCGGACATCGAAGATCTTGCAATGTGTCACAGAATCAGAGAAGATTTGAGAAGGCCCGATTCTACAATGAAGAATCCAAGCACACCTGGCGCTTGGCACCGACAAGCAGCTCGTCTGATCATGTCTATATTAAGGCGATCTCAGGGAACTGCTATCGAGACTTATATCATGGAGGAATTGCAATTGATACCATTGAGCGACGGACGTTGGGTGGCGCCACGGCAGACTCACGTATACTTTCCCGCGGAGATCGGACCTGGAATACCTCAAGATATCGTGGTGACGATCGATGCCGGGTTAGATAATGAGGTTCGAGAAGAGCTATTCCAAGCTCTTGGTGCTGTAGAATGCCCGCCCGAAGAAGTGATAGACAAGATCTTTCTGACATACTCAACGGGACGAGGAGTTCGAACTCTAGAGTCTTCGAAAGCCCACTTGAGTTATCTGTTTTGGCATGTTGAAAATATCTCTGATCCAAGATTCAGGCATTTACAAATTTACGATCACGATGGGATAATGGCCCAACCCCATAGAATTGGTATGCCGGTCTATCTTCCAACCGAAGATGAATACGGTCCCCAAATGTTACTCAGACGAGTACCCCCAATATTGCCAATCGCTTTCCTCCATCCAGATTATCTGAGACCAATGTCTCCCATAAATCGACAAACTGGGCGCTACGACATGAGTTGGTTGAAATGGGTTGTAATTGCATTAAGAATTCGGGACGTTCCTCGATTGGCTTCTCATGCGGGTACATTATCCGCCGAATTTCGACATATTCTTCAACGTAGACAGGATAAGATAATTGGGACTTTGAAAACTCATTGGGGAGTGTATAGACGAGAAATGAGGGATTCACTCATCTATGACATCAAAACAGCAAATGTTTCGTGCTGGGGTATTCGACCAAAACAAATGGATTCGACTTACTTTCCAACAGAACAGCTTGAAAACCAATGCAGAGACCTCGGAATAACCTTGAGTTTTCCATTTTTGGATAGAACAACACTTCCAGGATATGATGGTTCAGCAGAAGATTGGGCGTTTCTCGCCCGATTTGGTGTGCAATTCGAGCCGTATTTAAACTTCTACCTGGAAATCTTGCGACAGCATGCAAGTCGGCCACAAAGTAATTGGGACTCCGCTCGAGGTAACATTCTGAAGACATACTCAGCAATTTCTGACCACGGAAGTGAAATTCACACAGAACTTATCGTGTAATGCACAATACCCATCTCAAGGTTGACCGAAACTGACAACTCGCAGAGAAGCGTTCTATCGGGAAAATTTGATCCTAGATCCGGCATGCCTCCAACCAGACTCCAACGCCCCTAGATGGATTGATATAGACGACTGCGTCTGGAAAGGTCCTGAAGATCTACTTGATAAGACACCTTTGTATTCTGCATCAGAATATCGAAATAGTCCGCAGATAAACCGCTTATTTCACCAGCGTATCCTCAAGATCAAAGACGCCGACTGGAAGGATTATCAACGCACCTTGATCAAGATTAAAACAAATCCTGAACCCTCCTGGGATGCTACCGATCGAGCGCAAAGGCTCTACACCCTTCTTGCAGAAACAAGATTAAATGACGAAACTTGGAGTGCGATTCGGTAAGTGAGATACTTCTTTTGACGACAAGACCATATTAATTCGAAAACAGGCATACATTTGAGGAAGAGAAACTAGTATATCTGCCTTCAGCGGACCAATGGTACCCGCCCTCCCAGTGTCTCTGGAGTAGTCCCTTGCCAATTCCAGACATGGTAGTCATCGGTTCTGAATATCCCGATACCCTCAAAGATTTCTTCCTGATGCGCTTGAAAATCTCACCAGCGTCATTACCAACATTGATCGAAGCACTGGTTGCAAGGAGTCGTAATGGATCATCTTTGGCTGATATCAAGCAAACGATCAAAGCAATCAACAGAATGAAACCGACATGGAAAGACCTGCAAGTCCTCAGAGCATATGGCTTCCTTCCAATTAGAAGGCATAGCGAAGATGGCAACGTGACTTTAGGGAATCTTTTTGAAACATTTGCCGTTATTGACAATACGAAAATCTCGGCAATTTTCAACGATCATGTCGACATGTTGGACTTTTCTTTAGAAGAAGTCCTTGAACTGGAACCATTTCTACATGGCCTAGGTCTCAAGAGCAAGTACTTGTCTCGGATTTACACCACAGACACGGACTGCGGGGAAGGTTCCACAATGGACGACAAATTAACAGACAACTTTATGGACATAGCCTACGATATTCTGCGGTAAGAATAAGACTGCCCGCCGCCGAGAAAAACTAACAGCTGCTTAGCATCGTAGTCACCCATCGACGTATAGACGACCCACAACCACTATACTTCCAACTTCAGATGTCGTCAGTTCTGAAATCAAATGCAATTAGGGCAACGTATACTCTACGCCATGAAAATGGTGACACCACCGGACCCATTCCCGGTATTCCTGGTCATGTACACGTTGAAGAAGTCCAAGGCTTTTGGGCGATATTCGTTCCAGAAATAGCATCAGAGAGGGAAATCTCCTACAAATTGCATCTCCCAAGAGCGCTTGCTCGCCTGCTAGATCTACCTGCATCTTGTCGAGACGTAATTGGTCTCGTTCTGAACAGCAGCCCCGCTGTTATAGACGAGCTCCTGGAAACCGAAGGTATTGGACAAGTTCTTGGTATCGAACCACCCGTTAGAAGACTTAACGACGATGAGAATACTCTCAGTGATGAAGAGCAAGCAACAGACACAACTTCCACTCCACAAGGTACATCTAGGCCTATCAGTCGGGGATCTGATGATGTTCCACGAGCGAGCCGAGCAATCATGGTCGCGACTGAGCGTCGCTCAGCACCAATATCTAGAGAAGAATCTCACCGGCAGCCGCTTGACCTAGAACAAGCCGTAGATTCAGAACAAGAGCCATATCCGCAGTCACCTTCGGAACTTGAATCGGAGTCAAACTTGGATAATGTTATACACTTACCAATTCGACAGGTACCAAATGTTGACGCGTATACGCAACTTCTTGGTCATGTCATCCGTATTGCGAGGGAGACCGATTTTCCTCGAAGCGACTCCCCAGCAGCACCCGGAAATGGACGATATCTACCTGGCTATGACGCTCTGGGTGCATTTGGTGTTCGGTCATTGAATCAAATCGGGCACGATAAGAAGATAGGGGCTGCCGGTGAACTATTCGTCAGTACTGTTTCGCATTTTAGATGTTTGAATGACAAATTTGACGAAATATAATAGGTTTATGAAATGCTTCTCGGCGTCTTAAGACCACATTTCGGCGAAGATAATTGGAGAAGTACAATACGCAGATTTGTAACTGTTCATCCGAACTATCGAGATATGCTTCCATGGAATGGGCAGGAGAGGTCTGATATTGTCTATCAAGATACGGACGGCCGGTTGACCTTGTTGCTTGTTGCACTAGGTTACCTGGATATCATTTGGGAGGGAACAGAACCAGAATACCTGATTGAAGTTAAAACAACTACCGGAAACTGCGCTGATCGGTTCTTTATGAGCACGAACCAGTACAATATGGTAAGAACGACATTCGTAACATCAAAATGAAAAGCTGACAGTCCGTCATTGCAGATGCAAACAGATGCACTCCAACCAGGCCAGACTTCTGATCGAGTTTACCTCATTTGTAGAGTATATGATCTTGGTAAAGACAGCATGAACTTGAAGATCTATGTTGATCCAGAGGCACATCGGCAGAGAGACGCGTTACTGTTTGCTGAGAATGGATATACTGTGACGCCTAGATCTCAAGCATAGATTTGGGCAACTGAGCAGCTGTTTTGTTTGATATCAGACCGCTCAACGATAATGTATGAAGGGGGTGTGTATATTGATAATAGGCGCAAATTTGGAATATATATGGTTTGATGAACGTGGTCGTGACGCGACTAAAAATGCTCGGATATCAGTCACGTGATTTCAATCCGCCGATATTAGTCCCCGTCGTCCCCCACTTCTGCTAACCAACAACCAAATAACGACATAGCATTCTTTGGGTTTAGTCCCCGAAATTGATGCCGGCCTCGAACCGGCATCTCCTACCCCTCAAAATAATGGTATATCGCTGTGAGTTTCCTCCTCCAAATTGTCATGACATAAAAGCCAAGAACCGGCGTGAGAGTGAACAACGTCGTTATAGACTTCCTAATTAAAATTTCTCTTTCTTTAAGCTCATATCACTCTTATATTCTATCTGTATAAAGTTTTCGATAGGCTTCACTCTGAGTGCCTGACCTGTTTTTTTGAACTCCCGACAACCCATCAAAAACGAGGACCCATCAGAGCTATTCCATCATGACTATCACCTCAATCATCTCAGACTCAAAACCAGACCTCCAACCATACGAAGAACTCTACAAAGAGCTCCATCAAAACCCAGGACTCTCCCTTCAAGAACACTTCGCTGCCGAAACAGCAGCCAAATACCTCCGAGAACTAGATGGCTTCGAAGTCCGGACCAACATTGGCGGTACAGGCCTAATAGGCATCCTCAAAAATGGAGAAGGAAAAACAGTTCTCTTACGAGCTGACATCGATGCTCTTCCGGTGGAAGAGTTGACAGGACTACCTTACGCAAGCAAGAAGAAAGAGGTAGACGTCGAAGATGGCAACGAGTACTCAGTGATGCACGCATGTGGACATGATATGCACATCACATCAATGCTAGCAGCAGCAAAGACGCTCCACTCATCGCAAAAAGACTGGAAAGGCACGCTGGTAATTCTCTTCCAACCAAACGAAGAGCGAGCCGGGGGAGCGAAAGCCATGATCGCAGACGGCTTGTACGATCCCAAAAAACACGCTTGTCCTATTCCCGATGCAGTTCTGGGTCAACATGTAATGCCGCTCGCGTCTGGGACTGTCGGGACGCGAGTCGGAAGCTTTGCGTCTGCTGCTGATAGCTTTCGTGTTACGGTTTATGGTCGTGGCGGTCATGCTTCTCAGCCTCACATGACGATTGATCCAGTCGTTTTAGCTGCTCATATCATAGTGAGATTACAGACTGTTGTCTCTAGGGAGGTGAATCCGAGAGAGGCTGCTGTTGTCACGGTTGGCAGTATTATTTCTGGGAGAACCGAAAATATCATCTCCAGTGAGGCGACGCTGAAAATTAATGTCCGCACGGTAACGCCAGAAACAAGGAAAGCGGTCTTATCAGCTATAAAACGAATCGTGAAAGCAGAATGCGAAGCCAGTAACTCCCCAAAGGAACCCCTCTGGGAACCGACAAGTTCATTCCCCTTCACAATAAACGACGAGGAGGTTACAAACACAGTCGCCGCCGCATTCGCCAAACACTTTGGAGACCAGCACGATTCGGAATCACCACCACTCGGTGGATCCGAGGATTTCAGTATTCTGGCGACCGAAGCACCGAATAAGAACGGTGGAAAGGGCGTTCCATACACGTATTGGAATTTTGGAGGCGTGGATCCGAAGAAATACAAAGATGCGTTGGAGAAGGGGACGATGTCGGATATTCCGATAAATCATAGTGCGTATTTTGCGCCGGTGATACAGCCTACGTTGAGTACGGGCGTTGATGCGTTGGTTGTTGCGGCGTTGGCGTTTCTGACGTGATGGGGATGTGAAGTGTTAGGTATATACTATAGTATTGTAGTTGATTTTCTTGTGAGATGTGTTTGCAGCTACTAGTGAAGTGAACAATTACATAGTTAAGCGGGCTCATGCTCGCGCCAGCTATCAATTGAACGAGAATGTATTTCTAGCGTCGGCCTCTCCGAGTTCTCTCCACGAAACAATGGTTTTCTAGTTTGGGGCATTTTATGCCCGAACAACTTTACACCAAATTCGCATATGGATACTACGAATGATCAAATGTGGCAGACACTGATCTTAAAACTTCTCACATTAATCGATCCCACAGCTCCTCAAAGCCATAAGAAAAACATCCATCTAAATCTAACTCGATCATTCATTCAATGTTTCATCCCCATATCCACGCCCAATCAGGCCTCCATCCCCATATACACCCCCCTCACCCTCAACCCCCGCCTTCGAATTAACTCAACATTCCACCCCAACGCCACAGGTATGATCATAAAAGGCAGTCCAAAAACAATATCAAACGAAACCAACGCCACCGGGTATTGTAGTTGCAAATGTGGAAACAGAAAAGAGGACCATGATGCAAGATTCCCCCGTCCCGTGATGCCATGCCATGCCATGCCCCGAAACAAAAAGATTCGTGAATGCGAGTCGCTAAAATGTGATGTGATATAAGAGACTGCGGGGTGATGTGAGAATGAAGTTGTGGAAAGTGGCCGTGAATTCAGGCCAGCCCTTATCGCCATATACACAATGAGCTCGAGCAGACTGCCAGAATGCCCGGGGCTCTTGCTGGCCAATATAAGCAGAGAAAGATATGATGTATTCCGAACCATATGTATTAGAAAGTTTTATGTCCAAACCATGTCTATTGAAAGGTGTTGTGTTTTTGGTGGTTTGGGGGATTCGACGGACCTAACAATGAATTGATAGGAATATGCGTGCTTTGAGAACCGAGGTGCGATGGTTGTTGATTATGATAATTGCTATGCATATCATATACGGTTTGGTGTCGAAATTGTGGTTGACGGAAATTGTTCGGCTGAGGAAGTGCTCTTGGAAGACCACCCATAAGAAAACTTCCACCCGGATAAGCTGAGGTTATTTGTGCTGGTTGTGATAAAAGAGCACCCGCGTGGTGGAAATTTGTATAGTTGTATCCACCAAGATTAGTGCCGTAGTTGTTAAATCCTAGTGGACCCCCCATAGAACCTATCGATTGACGAAGTGGATGGTTGGGCCTAACCTGCTGGGCATTGCCATATATTGATTGCGGTCTAGCATGACTGTGTTGAGGCTGCTGTTGTTGTACGGCTCGACCAATATCGACTGCCGGGGTAGATCTTAAGGAGGGATATTCATCCATATCGCTCATCAAGCTATCAGCATCCATACTGACCTCTCTGATATCGGAATTCGTTCCAGCAAGAGATTTGGGAGGATTGAGGTCTCGCTCCTCCCACTCTTTTTCAATCTTTGGCTTCAGAGATCTCCATCCACGTTCGGTGCCACCATCCCGATAGATACGGCATGCTGCTTTGAAAGCCTTGGTTACCTGTACAAACTCGGTAGGGATCTGAGGTAGGTCTTCCTTAGCCCGACGAGTAAACAATTCAATACGACCCTTTCGTGCTTTGTCTTTTGGTCCGCGCTCTTCCTGACGCTTCTTCCTGATAGCAGCCTCGATTTTTCTGACATTCCCCATGTGTTTATCATTGACGGCTTTCTTAGCAGCGAAGAATTCATCGCGCTTTCCATCGAGCGCATCCATCAAGTCTTTATGAGCTGCTTGTGCTGCTGAAGCTTCGGCGGGTGTGTGATCCGGGTTAGCCTCATAAGGTGGTGGCGCCAAAGCATTGTACTCTTCAATTATCCTGTCCACGTCTGAAATGAGGTAACATTTGTATAGTCTTGGTGGTCCGCGAGCCCGAGCTTCAACCTCTTCCGTATAATCGTGTGGTTTCAAGAAAGAATCGTAGATAGCGACGGGAATCGATTCGAGCATTTTTAAAACAGTAGTCCTTGGATAATTATTCTGTCGATTTTTGAGGATTCGATCTTCTCTTTCAATCTTCTTTCCCCAGCAATCAGAGCACCACCTCTTAGACCACGACCAGTATGTTCTTGTAGCTTTTTTGTTATCGCACCCTGGCTCTTGACATCCCTTTCCTCCGAGCAAATCGCTATACTGACGTTCTGTCATTCCTGGTGGCGGCGGAGGCATATCCCATCCATAATTTTCCTTGCGACAATTAACAAAGATCGAATCGAATTGGTCGACCATTGCCTTCCAAGGCTTGCAAACGAGACGAGCTTTTTTAAGGAATGATGGCGGTGTAAACTCAAAGATCCGCATCCAGATATCGTCGCCCAGACGCTCCTTTTCCTGTCTCATGTTAGTCGTGGAGCCAGAAGAAAGCCTGTTACAACTTACTTCGCCATCTTTCTTAGCCGCTTTGCCTTTCTTGTCCAGCTTCTGCTTCTTTACGCAAGTATCCGCTTCATCTTTAGCCTTTCGTTTCTTCGCTGGCATCTTATCGATAGATCGTTTCCCCATTGTAGTGGTATGAAGTGACCCAGAGGAGAAATCGTAGAGCGTTTGCGAAAAGAATTGAGCAGTTGGTGTCGATTGTGACGAGTTGGTAGGATTTGCTGAGAGCGAATATTTATCAGCAGTCGTTTGCTTTGAAGGCGGTGATGCGGCTTGTTTGTTTAGAAGATGAGGCGTTTGGAGATTATTAGCGTCGACAATTTTGGAAGGTGAGTTTGATAGCCCTGGGGGTAAACAAGGAGCTTTCTCTGGGGTATTGGAGTTGCTCCCAGATTTGTTGACGGGAAGGAAGCTCTTGATACTGTGAAATTGATTAAGTGGCATGTGGTTGCTAGTGTCCGGGGAACCTATTGACGGTAGGGGATGGCGGTTGGCAGAAATACCGACCGGTCCAAGAGCATTACCTAATGGAGGAAGATCAATCTTGGGAAGTTGTAGCGGATTTGGAAATTGCCCTGGTCCCAAGTTCGGTGTTTGCCTTGATGGGTTAAGAGGTGAGGGTAGGTGAGGAGGTCTTTGTTGCGAAGCGGAGGCTTGTGGTGTTAGTCTACCTTCCTGTGGTGCAGAGAAGGTATGACTGGGTTGCTGACTCTGTGAGTTGAGAGCTCTAGGTGGAGGAAGGTTGAATGCCGAACGACTGGCTTCGGTGGAAGGCGGACGGCTAACGACAGAGAATTGTGTATTTTCGAACGAGTTCTGATCATCGTGCATGTGGTTGTCTTGAAAAATGCTCGTCGCTTGTCTTGAAGCTGGCTGCGAAGAGTAGGAAAACGATGAAGGGTCATGGGCGGCCTCGATGGTATCGAAATCGTCTGGTGTCAACCAGGAATTGATCAAAGAGTCAGACGGGAACTCTGTGGAGTTCAGCTCTCGCATGTCGGTGTGTGTTTCCGCTGACGATGGCACGCTGGTGCTGATCCTCTCCCCAAATGATGTGTTACTAGTTGTTGGCTGATACCTTGGTGTTGCTGTTTCGGAAGCATCTTCAAAAGCCAGCAATTCCCCCAAATCAGCCAAGACCTCCGGTTCTACCAAACTAGCGGGATCCTTCATGGACGAAGACTCTGAGCCATCTTGTCTGGTCAAAGAAATATTGCCGTCCAACTCCATCCATATCTTCAAACTCAAGGCCTCTATGAGCGACTTTGTCAGATGTCTTGCTATCCTTAGACCCGCTGGATGGGTGAATCGGAAATCCTCTGCCCGCTCGAGGCTCGTTGTGACGCCGTCCATTTCGGAGGAGGCGCTGGGAACAGAGCCATTGTTATCCATTCTGGTCGCTCAGTCCAGAGTGTCAGAGATGTTGCAAATGTACCCGGCTGGATGTTGTCGTTGTTGGCCTTCCTCGACCCCACCAGAGGACTTGACGTCAAGCCACACTCATGCAACGGTGGCAGGTTGTCGGCGGAGTTTGAATCTTCGAAGGGATGTGCGATCGTCTATGAAGGCATTCGCAGCGTTCGTGGAGGTGTATCGACGGTGGGTGTGGTGGTTGGAAACGTTTGGGTGGTCGTGGTCGGGTGAGGGTTTGGCTCGTCGTTGGTGTTGTAGGAGTGGAAGTTGCGGTAGAATAATCACACGATTTGGTCTGCCGTGGTTCTGCTAGTCTAGCCCCTTGGATTCCAGAGCCTTAGGCCTTCAAGATCCTTCCGTGGCCGAGCTCCGACCCCCGAACGCAGTTTGCCCCTGTATTTTTGCCCTGCGTGCGCTCTATGGCGCTCTATCTTTGGCTCAGGCTTGACTAGTGTCGGAGCGATGTCCAGTAGCCGATGCGAAATAAATTACCATTGATTCCTCTTTCATGCTTTCTTATATCATAATTTTGTCTATGATTGTTGAGTAGAAACGATATTTTTTCTTTTGTCTTTATTTCGTTGTCGTGCTAGTCATGTTTTGCTCTTTGATGCATGCGGTCCTTTCTCCCTTTGGCACCGCACTTTATAAATCAATAGTCGATGTCTTGCATTCCAAGCGATCGGCTGACTGTGGTGGCAAGCGCTGTAAGCCAGTATAGTACAGTTGCAACTTTTCACCTTGGCGATGATGTTGGTCGCGAGGTGAGATCCGATGGAGTACATCGTAAGCCTGCTTAGGTGTATTTGATTGCGCATTTGATTGTCGCATGTTGACGACCGACGAGTTGCTAGTTGCTGAGTGGAAGAATCTTTTCTTGTCAATAGTCCTTTCTCCATTACAGCAGGCTTTTTTAGTCAGGTGAGATGAATGATATTGTTCAATCGCTCAAGATCGAAGTGTATATTCACTATCTATTGAGATTTAAGTTTCGTCTACTCGGTACGTTTTGGACGTGAAGCATATGCAGGTCGCGGTGCTTTACCACGGTACGAAGCCGTATTTTGCCGGTTGATCATGTTCAACGCAGGACGAAAGGAGTTCCATCAAGGGTCCAAGAATGAAACATTTTTCAGACGAAAGTGTATCTATACCAAGATCGGCAGGTACAATGATCGGTGAATAATTGCTACCTATGTACCTTGGCTAGGTCTAAGAAGTATTCTATACTCTCACTCTCGCCTATGGATTGCATGCCCTGAGATACCAGGAAACATGTTTCAATGCAAGCTTCAAACGTCGGACGACGATCCTAATGTCGGTTGTTTTGTTGCAACCTCTTTTGTTTATGAAATAGCGCCAATCTTATGCGAGTTTTAGATCTTCCTTCAGGAGAGCAATCTCAACGACTGAAGCTGTCTTCTTCTGAACGTCTCGAGATGCTGGAAAGAATTTAGAACGTGACCTTAGCGAGGTTGAGTCTTCCTTTCGCATTTTTGTATGCTTTAGCAAGATCTGGCTCAAGTCAGGCAAACAAATAAATCAATAATTTAAGATCTCAATGGACAACATCTAGATATACTTAGTTATTACTTTCAAGCCTCACAAAGATCTAGATTCTGGCCCGGAGATCCCATCTACCAGCCATATCATTGGACCAAAAATACATCTCTTCAGCCCGTCCCCGCGTTTATTGAAATAACTCCATGGAGTTTAATATTCACCCAATCAAAACCCAATCTCATCTCCATCGCCACGATACCCAAAAGAGGTTACTTCATATTGGACCCTCCAGCCGTCAAAACCATGCCCTGCCGGGCCCTCTCTCAAGGTCCAGAAGATCCACCAGAAATCCACCTCCCACTTTATCGGCACGAGATCGGAGGTCAAAAAGAATAATCAATATTGTTCAGGTACAATAGGTATTACCAAAAAATGTTTATTATCTGACTCATCTTGAATTGAATTGCTGATCCAGGTTGTCGTTGTTAGAAAAGGCTCTTTGCTAAGCAGTTGGCTATACTACGCGAGAAGAGGCGAGAAGAGCTACACAAAAGGTTAGTCTACGTTTGATTCCTCACGTATCATTGCCACAGGATGCAAAGACCTTCGCACACAACAGCGGAATTAGTCCTTATTCACACAACCTTAAATACCAAAGACGGCTCGCAAAACGAAAATACCATTTCCTCCACCTATTCCGGTCACCTCCATGTACTGATGAATAATATTCCCTGCAACTATGTGCATCGCTCGGCCAATTCTCTCACTTGAGGCGAAAAAACGGGTCTTTAAACCCGGTCTGGCAGGCCATTTCGCGGGGAAGACATCTCTTCTCCACAAATTACCTCACACGATGATCTTGCAAAAGCTAGCTTTAATGATTTCTGATCCGCTACTGGCCGGCAGCGGACTGCATGTTACGTCGTTTGGTTGGCCGCAAAAAGGATACTTAAACTCTTTGGTCCCGTGTGAATTTGTGAGGCCATCGTCACTTTGAATCACTACCCGGGGTCAGCTGAGAGGTTGTGTGTCGCTGTAAGTGCCCATTCACGTTGAGGTTGGTTCTGGAGTGAATTCTGGAGTAATGAGGGGTATATAGCTAATAGCTAATTGCAGTAGCCAGACGAATTCGACACAACTAAACAGATTCCACAATGTTTGGAAAAAGTAAGTCGCATAGCTATTTCCCTTGCAATTGCTTTCTCCTATGCGATCGCATACTGACAAGTACAGAAACCACAGCGACGTCGCCAACTGCGTCAGACAATGAAGCCGGCATCAAGAGCGAGACGAACAACTTCTACGACCCCAATATCGCGAGCAACACGGGCGTCGAATACGATGAATTGAACGTCGTCTGCCCCGCGCACACCACCGAGAAGAAGTTGATGACCAAGATCGATTTGAGAGTCATCCCCTTCCTCTGCATCCTCTACCTCCTAGCCTTCCTCGATCGAGTCAACATCGCAAATGCGCGCTCCTTTGGCCTCATAGCAGAGCTTAAATTGCAGGGAAACCAGTACAACACCGCTTTAACGATCTTCTTCGTCCCCTATATCCTCTTCGAAATCCCATCAAATGTCCTCCTCAAGAAATTCAGTCCGCGTATCTGGCTTTCGGCATGTATGTTCATGTTTGGTGTGGTTTCCATCTGCCAGGGCCTAGTCCAAAATTACGCAGGTCTGCTTGTAACTCGATTCTTCCTTGGTGTATTTGAAGCGGGAATGTTCCCAGGATGTTTCTACCTCATCGGGATGTGGTATAAACGCTCTGAAGCCCAACGACGATACAGTTTCTTCTTCTCCAGCACAACTTTGGCCGGTGCCTTTGGTGGATTACTCGCCTCCGCCATTGGCAAGATGGACGGTCTCCAAGGCTACAAAGGCTGGCGATGGATCTTCATCCTCGAAGGCGTACTCACCTCCGTAGTCGCCCTAGTATTCTTCTTCTTCATCCCCTCCTTCCCCGAAGACGCAAGCTGGCTCTCCCAGGACGAACGCGAATACGTCAAAGCCCGCCTGCAAGCCGACCAAGGCCGCTCAGCCGCCGAGCGCAAAATCACCATCCGCGACGTCGGCCGCGTCTTCAAAGACTACAAAGTCATCCTCGGCGGCTTCATGTACTTCGGCATGATCGTGCCCGCCTACGGATACGCCTACTTCGCGCCGGCCATCATCACCACCTACAAATACTCGCCCATCCAAACGCAACTGCACTCCGTCCCGCCCTGGGCCTGCGCCTTTGCCTTCGCCATGATCATCGCCTTCTGCTCCGACTACACCCGCCACCGCTTTCTCTTCACCATTTTCCCCATCGCCATCTCCATGTCCGGCTTCTGCATCCTGCTCGCGGTCCACAACAACACGCCCGTGCAGTACGCGGGGCTCTTCCTCGTCGCCATGGGCGCCTACTCCGCGATGCCGGTCATCGTGTGCTGGTTCAATATGAATCTCGGCGGTCACCATCGGCGGTCTGTCGGGTCGGCGTGGCAGGTCGGGTTCGGGAATATCGGGGGCATCATCGCGACGTATTCGTTCTTGGCGAAGGACGCGCCGAAATATACGAAGGGATATGCGATCTGTCTCGGGTTCTTGTGTCTGGCCATGGCGAGCTGTTGTGCGTATGCGGCGGCGGTGTGGAGTGAGAATCGGAAGAGGGATAAGACGCCGGTGGATGTTGGGTTGACGGAGTATGAGAAGACGGAGTTGGGTGTAAGTTTTTATCTTCTCTTATCTTTTCTTATCTTTTTGTTTTCTTATCTTTTCGGTGTCGGTGAATCAGATGCTAATCGTCGTAGGACATGAATCCGGAATACAGATATCTCTTGTGAGACGCCGATATCGGGAGTTGTAAAAGCGGAATATTTGGATATAACCACGTTTTACAAACTTTGCCTCTTAGATTCATCTTGGTCGTGAAAATCATGCGTTCCATTGACTTGTTCCAACTATCTTGATAAATCCCTGGAAAGCCCAACCCTCCATCTTCAAATGCTCAAGTCAACATCTCTCAGGAAATCAACCATCGTAATCCAACTAATCCAACACCACCCAAATCCCATCCCCCTCGCCTCATCAACATATCTCTCAGTATATATCCTCGCTTTTCTCTGTTGTCTCGAGAATCCCATCTCTTGATCCATCACACAATTTCTTTCGAGACATTCATCCTCTAACTAGGCAAATCCTTTCATCCATCGAAGCTATCCATGCCCAGATACCCACGAAGCTATCCACACCCAGATACCCACCAGAACGCTCACCCCGCGACGTTACTTTTGACGAGCGGATACACGTACGTGGGTCTGGAGATGGGTGGACAATGTCGAGTTTAGAGATGGGTTTGTGATTGTAAAGGTAATCTTACATTTATGTAGGAGGTGTGTGTGGTTTTAGTTACACTTTCCATCATCCACCAAAACCAT